GATCCACCGAGTCATGATGAATGTCTGCAAAACTGCCGGACTCGGCGTTCTCCTCCCCGAGACCGGCTGGTATCCCGCCGGAACCGACCCAGAGACCTTAGCTGTTGATGATGATGCATGCATTGAATTAGGCCTCGATTCCCCCATCTACGTCGACAAATACCGAGATTCTGTCCCCGTGCGCAATGGTTCCCTTTCATTCCTCATTCAGTGCCTTCGGCCTGATGTGGATAGTCTGCAGATTGAACTGCTGGTATCGATCTTCAGAGTCGCCCCAGAACTCGTTGCCGATTACTTCTCGAGGAAAACTATGTTTATTTCAGACCCCAAGGCCACCCCCTCATGGATGGCCGAGTCCGCTTTCCTTTTCTCAACTGTGCAGTTGCCTGTCCCTGCAAACTGTGGCTGGAAGGAGAAGCAGCCTATCCTGCCACCGCCGGTTTCTATCGTTATTGAAAATATTCTCCCCCGCCCCCTTGGCCAGAAGATTATGACCCGCTGCCTCAACCAGAATGCGGAGATTATCACTCTGTTCGCCGTCCGAATCCTGACTCTCGCGTTCACTAAGCTGCGGGCTGTTCTCAAAATCTTCCAGGCGGATCACGGCCAAGGTCAGCTATTCTGGAACCAGGCTTCTGCTAAGTTGCTGGCCGAGTTCTCTCGCCGATGCCCTGCTGTCAAGGACGTCGTTGTGCTTTTCCGAAGAACAGAAAAGGATGACCTGACCCAGCAGGAAGCTGTTGCAGAGCTATTGACCTGTTATTACGAAGTGATGCCGGACATTGCTCTGGAAGAAAGCTTTGACGTCTCACTAGTGTTGGTTGATGTTCTAAAGCGACTGGAGGCCCCAGACGTTAGCACGGATGATTCCGAGTCGCTTTTAAGCCAACTTCAGAGCATCCTCCAGATCGCACAACAGTCCGCTTCTTTACGTTGGTGGCAAAAGCCAGCATCCATGCAATACTCACCCTTCACCTCGATTCTCAAGGTTCTGATGGATACTTCAGACAAGGACTCTTCGCGCCGTATCTCTACCCTGCTCAAGACTGTTCTGGTTGATAACTCTGTTCTGCACAGTTCCCCACATGCATTTGCATCTGTCTTATCTAGTCTTGAGAATTCCGAGGCTGATGCTTTGCATCCACAGCTGGTCTTCTTTGATAACTGTGTCTCACGTGTCGCCAAAAAGCCCGTTCACTACTTGGATCTGCTACAGTCATTATCCGAGGATGCGTCTAGAACAACTAGCGCGCTTGTTGCTGCGATTGTTGAGCAATGGCCCTTTGTCGTCAAGAGCGGAGATGCATCCACGGAAGCTGCCGTTGGAACTTGGATCGCAAGTCTTCTGGGTAATCTGAAGCAGGCGGGCGAGAGCACCAAGGTGCTCAAAGCTGCTCGGGATGCATTGGTTGAAGCAACTGAGACTAAGAAAATCAAGTCTCTTCTTAAGAAGTCCCTGAAGGAGGCAGATAATGTCGACAATGAGGATAAGATGGACATTGACTCTGGCTCTAATGTGCCTAGTTCCTCCAACAAAGCCTCTACCGTTGACCTCGATGAGATCTTTGGATCCCTGCCCACCGAAGGCACAACCCACAATGCCCTGAACAAATGGGAAAGAGAGGATATTTCGGAAGCAGTAGACCAGGGCCACGTCGCCGAATTGATGCTCTGCCTCTGTTCTCAGCACGAAGAAGTTCGAAGACAGGCCTTCGCCAATATCATTCGCTTCATGGCCAAACTCAAGGAATCCACCTACGCTGAATGGCGCACGGTGTTTACTCTAGCCGGTGAGCTTCTCGAGACAGTCAACAACATTGGCATGGAGAAGCCCGTTCCTTGGATTGTGGGCGAGTGCGCTGCAAACTGTCTGGAAGTTCTCATAGATCCCCTCCACAAGGTTTACGGCAAAGTCAACAAGTTCCTGCAGAAGGCACCATCTTGGGAAGTCGAGAAGATCCCAACATACTGGGTTGACAAAATCCTCCTGCACGAGCCTGAGTTGGATGATGGGTATTTCGAGGAGATCGACTGGCTTCTTAACCTGTTTACCAAGGCACTCCGCACCGAGGCTGTAAGTTTCTACCTTTTCGGTTCTACACCTCCCAAACCACAATTACTAACACATTGAATGTAGGATATGGAGGTTTACCGACGGGCCAATGTCTTCGAGCGCATTCTTTCCCTCTACCAGTCCCCTACCCTCGGCCCCGCAGCTCGACGAAAGATCCTGCACATTGTGTACCGCGCCGCTCAGGTCGGTGGCAGTACCACCCTGATCACGCGTTCTGGTGTCATAAGTTGGATCCAGATCCAAGCTGCAGAGGCTAATCCCAAGGAGGCCGGTCAGCTTGCAGCACTTGCCCGTGCTTTGTATGAGAAGTGTGATCGTGAGCGAGTTGACGGTTGGAGTAATGGGACTCTTGGACGGGTCGTTGATGAGATTCAGGCGCAAGTTTGAGGCATTGGAAGTTGTACAATAGCAGATTGGATCATTGGCGTTCTTGCGTTTCTGGTCATATGTAGTTAGGTGAAATAAACCGTGTCAAATATCCATTTATCTTCGACCAATATACTATCACGCATGTCCTTTTAGGGTGCTACTGGTTTTTGAAGTCCGGGTCAGGATCAGGTTGGGAAGAAAGGGCATAATCCACTGTGATTCCGTAGTTATCCATTGACTACGACTCCCCCATTCGGATGCAAGCTTTGGCCCGAGATAAAGCTACTATCCTGACTTGCAAGGAAGACGAAACATGTTGCAACCTCACTGGGTTGTCCCGGGCGGCCCATTGGTGTACCGCTAAACTGTTCCTTTGCGGAGGTAGTCATGGTTGCTGGAATTAGAGGGGTCCAGACTAGGTATATCCTCGTTAGTTCTTTTAGTTCTTATATATTTGGATTCAATTTCGGTATGTTGAACTTACTTGGTCCAGGACAGACACAGTTCACCCGGATTCCATTCTTGACTTGCTGGTTAGACAGTCCTCTGGTAAAAGCCACGATGGCTCCCTTTGTGGATGTATAATCCAGCAGATCAGGGCGACCAATGTAGTGGTTGACCGAAGCGCAGTTGATTATCGTGGAGCCATTCTTCAAGTGAGGAAGCGTGTACTTGGAGAGATAGAAGATGGGATGGATATTAGTGTCGAACGTGCTTTCCCATTGAGACCTATAGAAACGTGTTAATAGCAGATTCCAGCAGGAATGAAACAAGAAATAGAAGATACATACTCTTCCAACTCTTTGATATCGTCAATCATCGTTTGAGTCCCAGCATTATTGACAAGGATATCAATTCCACCCAAGGTCTTAAGGGCTGTATCAACCACCTTTTGACAGTTCTTTTTATCCCGGATATCGGTTGCAAAGCAATAACAGCTTTGTCCGGTTTCTTCCACTCGTTGCTTGGTCTCTTGTGCATCCTTTTCCTCTTCGGGCAGATATGTGATGAGACTAGATGCCCCTTCCATAGCAAATAGAATAGCAACTGCGCGACCGATTCCTGAATCCCCGCCAGTGATGATGGCCTTCTTTCCAGAAAGCTTTCCCGCCGCTTTATAGGTCTGGTACCCATTATCCTCAGTTGGGAGTTTGTTTGAGGTGGGCTTGGGATCTTCCATTTCAGCTTGTAAGCCGGGCTTTTTCTGATGCTCCACGGGAATTTGATGTCCTGCAGTACTTATTAACAAACAATTATCATTTTATAGGATATTAACTTACCTTGTTCAAATTGAGATTGAGGTCCCCGGGAGGGCTTTTCTACTTCCTGTTGCATGATGATTTCAGACTGTTGTAGTGATGGAAATCGACTAGTATGGAGTTTAACGAGAAGTTCAAATAAGATACTGATATATGTGTAGTTTGTAATGATATATGTAATTTAAGACAAAATAGATGGATCTACATATTATATCTATATATATATAGAATCGATCGCGTCAGTATGACGCTTATTCATGTCCCCAAATCCTGCTTCAGCATCTTGCACTCTTGGCTCTATGATTGTAGATCTTATTTTATGTACTAAATACACAGTGACATTGGTCAAAAGTGGGTAAGTGGATTAATATAGTCTATGTATACTTAACTACCTAAGTTCTCCATACTCTGACTACGACGGTGTATCAATGCCAATGCCTGAATTTAATGCCTGAATGCCTTATTTTGGCCTGACTTATGCCTGAGCCCGCAACTGATCCCTTGTAGAGAAACAGACTCCTCTATTACCACAAATCGCCTTTATTGTCGGCCCGACTTTTCAACAATTCGTTGAAACACCGCCGAAGGCTCGAGGAAAGTCTCTGCCCGATAGCACTTCACACGTCCGGCATCGTCCTTCCGGACAGAGAACACGGCAAAACCAGGAATCGTGATTTCGTCCGTGTCTAGGTTGTCTCCTTTGACAAGATACCGGATGGTCGCGGCTTGATAGATACGAGGAGCGACATAGTCGAAGTAGCGGATATCGTGAACCATCATGTCCAGTTGGCCAAGGACGGTCTTGAACATCTGTCGCACCTCGCTGCCCTTGATCACGGGGTTATTTGCATATTGCATCTCCACGTCGTCGGTCATGAATTCGTCCAGCCACTGATCGGCGTTGAGGGTAGCACTCGCCCCGTGGAACTAATCGATATAAGTTGGTTGTTCTGCTTTGCTAGAAGAAAAATTGGCTTACTGCTTCTAGCCAGTCCAGCACAGTGACGTTATCAAGCTCGGGACCGGCTGACATTATGAGAATAAAATGGGGATTTGGGGTATGGGGGTATTTTGGGATGCAAAGTAGGATGGGCTTTTAGAGCTGGAGATGCAGTTGATCTTGCTAGGTTTATAAAAATATATGTTGTAAGTTATATAGACGGAACAAATAGGTTAGGAACTGGGGAGTCATGGCATCGGAGAAGAATGGATTCGGAGAGAAATGGCTCGGAGAGGAATGGCTCGGGAACGAAAAGATATAGCTGAGACTAGATATCGCTACACTTCCAAATTTACTCCTAAAGCTGATAATCTGGGAAGTACTTGTCATGAATCCCCCGAGAATACTCCACCAACGCCGGGCAACTGTTCACAATCTGCTTGGTTTCCGGAGCCCTTCCGAAAAGTCAGCATGTATCATCAGATATACGTCTGAAGGCACAGCTTGGAACAGTGTACTTACGCCCCATAGACCAAACCAGACACCACAAATCCAAACAGCACAGCATCCAAACAGCACAGCATCCAAACAGCACAGCATCAGCCTCGGTGGGTGCATCACCGCCCCACACCCAGAACGGCCCCTCTCGATCCCGACGCTGGACATACGCAGCCGATACAAGCCTATCAACAGATTCCCAGAGTTCCTGCCGGAATGCGGCGATTTCCTCGCCCGAAAAGAGGCCGGTGCCTTGACCCTGCATATTACGGACGTTCTTATTGTAGATTATGTTGCCGACAATCACCTGTACAGGCCAGGGGACACTAGCTAGGATCTTGGAGCGCATGGTGTAATAATTTACTACCCACCGCTCATGACCCTGGTAGAAATAGAGCCTGAGCCTTAGACTGAAAAGGGTGCTCTTATAGGGTATAGGTTCGTCAACCGTGAGAGTTAAATACAGTAAGTACACTAAGCAGCACTCTGCAGAGGGCTCTGACTAAGAAGATACTTAATTGTCCAATTTATTGGGTTTATTTCCATTATTTGTGCATTCGTAGAACTAAAGAGTGGACCGACATCTCGAGTAAAGAAAACGGGACACACGATATCGGAAAACAAACCTCTTAAGGTTAGCTCTCCACATCGTCAAACAATTTTCCCTTTTACTTGGTGCAATACCAGTCAAATCGATTGTTTAGGCCTTTATAGTCTTCAAAACGTACCCAAAGGCCTCATCAAGAATTTGAAGACCTTCCTCAATCTCCTCGGCAGTGACGGTGACCGAGGGTGCGAGACGGAAGACACCACCCATACCCGGGAGATTTACAACATTGCAGGAGAGACCGCAAGCCATAGCGCGATCGGAGACAGCCTGGCCAAGGTCAGAGCCAGGGGCCCGTGTCTTGGGGTCAGAGATAATCTCTATGCCCTGGAGAAGGCCGCGGCCACGAATGTCACCAATGCACCAATATTTCTCTTGGAGTTTGATAAGGCCCTCGCGCAGCTGAGCGCCACGCTTAGCAGCACGCTGGCAGATATTGTCACGCTCAACGATCTCGAGCACCTTGTTGCCAACAGCGGCAGTAAGGGGATCATTAAGGTGAGTTGTCAGCCATAGAAACCCGGCTTCCTTGCAACCCTGCTCGATTTCAGCAGTCGTGCTCACAGAGGCAAGGGGCAGTCCACAGCCGAGAGTCTTAGAGAGAGTGAGAATGTCGGGCACCACGTCTTCATTCTCGAAAGCAAACATTTGACCCGTGCGACCGACACCAGTCTGTGCTTCATCCATGATAGTAAGCATGCCGCGCTTCTTGCACTCGACGAACAGGCGCTTCAGGTATCCTTTAGGTAGATCCAAGATACCCCCCGTGGATAGAATGGGCTCCATAATAAACGCAGCGAGAGAGCCAACGCTCTGGCGGTCGATCATGGACCATCCATAGTCCATCTCGGTTTCCCAGTCATATGAGCCATCGGTCTTTCGGAAAGGTGAGCGATAGGCGTATGGGGCAGGGAACGCGAGCTGGCCAGGCGTACAAGGTCCACCCCGCTTACGCCCGGCTGAGTAGGTGGCAGAGCCAGAGCCTTGGGTGAGACCATGATAACTGGCGGAGAAAGCGATAATCTCAAAGTTGCCAGTATGGCACTTGGCCATCTTGATAGCCGCCTCGGTCGACTCGGATCCGGTGTTCAGGAAGAAGGACTTTTGTAACGGGGCTGGCAGAAAGCGAGCCAACCGCTCAGCGAGATCGACGACCGGAGGGGTAATCATGTTGCTGAGCAGGTGATCCAGTTCGGCGACATACTTGCATACGACTTCCACGATCTCAGGATGGGAGTGGCCGAGCAGGGAACTCATCTGGCCGGATGTAAAGTCGAGAATTGAATTGCCACTGGCATCATAAAGGCGCGTGCCACGAGCCTTCGTGATAATAACTGGAGAGAAAGGAACGCCCGTTGTCATGAGATACTTGTCGACGTTCGACCAGAACGTCTGAGTGGTGTCCAAGGAGCCCATATTGATCTTGGCAGTGTAGGTGCGATATCAGATGTTGAGTAACCGGAGTGGGTGAAAGTGTGTGAGAGAGATCAGCGGGACGGTCATCTTAAATAATAAAAATGAATGATTGTTAGAATACTGAACACTACTCTTCCCTGAAATGAGATTGTTCTCTATCCTCGTCCTCGTAATTCAACTGCCCGCGGCGAATGCTGTTGTGTGGGGTGGCCGCGGCCAAGACCGGTGGCTCAAGGGCAATGATTCAATAGATCAAACACCGGCCAAACTTGTCCGACTTCTATCTACTGACTAGTCGGATGGCGTTATCATCTAGGTCTACTTGCCCTCGGCTTTGTCCGGGCTTGTGAGTAATATTTAATTATAGTGCTTGGAGCACTATAGACGATGGCAACATCTGACATTCGCTATGACTATCAATTTTCCACTGAACCGCAATCCTAGCTCCAGCGAGGCAGACCTCGAGTCAGGAGATGATGGGCTAATGGTTCGTAGCTTCACGCACCTTTACGCACCTTTACCCTTGTAAGAATGCTAATGAGGCCCACAGAAGCAAAAGCCTTTGCCTGACAAGCACTCAACACCCGATATTGCCAACGCAGAGCTCAGAAACGTCCAATTCGGCAACGTCCAACGAGAGCTGAAGGCTCGACATGTCACATTCATTGCCCTCGGCGGAAACCTAGGCACAGGCCTATTTCTCGGTATTGGACATGCACTTCGGACTTCCGGCCCTCTGTCACTCTTTCTCGGTTACCTCACTGCTAGTATCGCTGGTTTCATGATGATGATGGCTTTGGGAGAAATGGCCGCCTGGCTTCCTCTCCCAGGTGCAATCCCCCAATTTTGTGCTCGATACGTGGACGACGCACTTGGGTTTGCAGTGGGCTGGAACACCTGGTTCACGGCGGTGATTACATTATGTGCCGAGATATCGGCTGCATGCAGTATAATTCAGTTCTGGTCAGGTGCAGACGAGGTCAGTATTGCCGTGTGGATTGTGATTCTGATCATAGTCTTGGTGGCCCTGAATATCTTTGCTGTCAGTATCTTTGGAGAATTTGAATTTGCATGTGCATGTGTCAAACTTTGCGGCATTATCGGCCTGCTGCTGGTGACCCTCTGCATTGACCTTGGTGGTGTACCGGGACAGCCACGACTTGGGTTCCACTACTGGAAAACAGATGGTATCATGAAGGAATATATTGGTACCGGGACCAGTGGTCGTTTCCTTGGATTCTTCTATACCTTGGTCAACGCTCAATTCGCTATTAACGGCTGTGAGACTGTGATCGTTGCCGCCGGTGAGGCTGAGAATCCACGTCGAAATATCCCCAGGGCAATCAAACGCGTCTTTTGGCGGCTTCTGCTCTTTTACGTCCTTGCTGCGCTGGCTATTGGAATGGTATGCCCTAGTAATAACGTTAATTTGATGGGGGGCAGTGGTTCTTCGAGTGCTCAGTCACCTTGGGTTATTGCGGTCAACCTCGCTGGTATACAGGCCTTGCCGTCCATCATCAATTCCTTGATCTTGATTGCAGCTATTTCATCGGGCAACTCCTATGTATTTATGGGGACCAGGTACCTATATGCTCTCGCGCTGAATAACCAGGCCCCGAAGATCTTCCTTCGCTGTACGAAGAAAGGAATCCCAATCTGGTCTCTTCTAGTGACAATGAGCATCTCTCTTCTGTCCTTTTTGTCAATGGGATCTGGCTCGAGCACAGCATTCCAGTGGTTCCAAAATTTAGCCACAGTCGCAACCTTGTACGTGGTTTCCCTCCTGCCAGGAGAATCTCGCAGATCTGAACCTGAAGCTCACTCACCCCCAAATCTAGATACACATGGTGTTCCATCTGCGTTGCCTATATCCGCTTCCGTGCAGCCCTCAAGGCGCAAAATGTCGACAAAGCGTCCATTCCACTCTCATTCATTCTCCAGCCTTACTCTACCTATATTACACTAGGATATCTCTGCATTGTGGCATTCTTCAACGGGTTCGATTATATCGCAGGCGGCTGGAATACACCGGGATTTGTCACATCCTATATCGGCTTCCCGCTCTTCTTTGGCTTCTTCTTCTTTTGGAAATTTCTCAAGAAGACGCGATGGATCCCATCGGAAGACGCTGACCTGTTCAGTGGAAAGGCCGAACTTGATGAAATTGAATGGCCAATGAAGAAGCCTAGGAATGTTTTGGAATCGGTTTGGCTACGGTTCATTTGAGTTGTGTTTAGCTCGTTCTGTCATAATATACCAGCGGAAAATCACTGATCTAGGTTGAGTCGGATTATGATAAAGGGAGGTCTCAAGAATGGTGATATCTGTTGAACCTTATCCCATGCATGTTCGCTATTTGCTAGTTTGTTTGCTATAGCATGAGCCTATGTTCAGATGGTTAGATATAATTGCAACTACACTAGGGTTTGAATTGGATAGGGAAATGGTCCAACGACCTGATTATTTATAAAATAAAAAAATGTGACAAAATGTAAATCAGAGAGATGACCACCAACTCATACAAGGAATCCATTTTATCCGCTGGGCACGAGTTAACTATACCAATTTTGGAGCAATTTGGGTAACTCCCCTGTTGTAACCAGCGAAGAGCTGCGCAAGGAATCGTTTGGTGTTGGATGCCTGAGGCATAACAATGTGATAGAACCTCGATGTATTGATAGCTTCTCTCTGTCTCCTTTCCTCCTCTTCCTCCTCTCTTCGTGCGAGACGGTCAATCCACACAGTGTTTTCTCCATTCTATTTCCATCTGGATCGCATCGCCATTATTTGGTAAGGTTTATAGGTAACCTACCATCAACTGGGAGCAAGTGTCCTACGCCGGAAATGTCCGAGGGAATGTCCTCGGGGAACCCCCCACCTCAGGGCCTATCCCCCTCTTCCATATCTTCTCCGTCTCCCGTTCATCAATTCATACAAGGCTCAATATGGAGATAGAAATGAACGACCAGAATAATGCCAAAGGGGGAAGGTCGACCGTACCGGTCGCATCTGTACCCAGCATGTCTGTCCTGTAAGAAGCGCAAGTCCCGATGTAAGACGCGAAATTCCTCGGACGTATGTATAATGTGCCAAGCTCACGGCACTGAATGCATCTTCCCACGTCCTGATGATAATTATCAGTCACAAGTTCTTAGTTCGCTGCGGAAATCGCCAGCCAACGTGAATCGCCGTTTCGCTTATAGAAGTTACGGTCCTCTCCATGCTCGGACTTATTCCGTGCCACACACTTTGCTCCAACCTGCAAATCTGGCGACTTCGGGCACTGGGGTGGATCCACAGGTTCCTGCAACATTGGCAGATCTGCCGCAGATTTCATGTGCTTCAGGGTATGAGCAAAGTGCAGAGAATCCGCCCAACCTTGTGGATATTGTTACGGAGGCCGGGGATGATAGCTCTCACGTTGTCAGCCCCGCGGTTGCGGGTGATAATGCCATTTTGGAGAGCTATCTGTGTGTCGCTTCAACTTCTCGGAACAGATGCCTGGCCACGAGGCCAACATCGACTCGACCGATGAGGCCTGTGCGGTTTGATGTTGTACCAAGAAGGCCACTAGGTGTGGCTACCGTTCAATCGCTGGCAGCATCAAAATGTGAAGTGATCGAAAAATACTTGGATCCTGATATAGAGGAATATCTGAATTTGTGGGTATCCAAAATTAGTATTCTTACATGCTCGGATCGCTTCTAGAGACTTACAATATACCCGCCAGGTTCTTCCAAAAGGCGAATACATGTTTTCCAGTATTTGACGAGGCTTCATTCAGAACTGCATATTTTTTGAACAAAGAGAAGATATCATCGGCCTTGATCTGCAGCCTGTACGCCAATTCCCTTGTCTATTGGAGGAGTTCACCCAAGCTACGCTCAGGACGCACTCCCGATATCCGATTCATATGGAATCAAGCAAACGAGGCTTTAAATTCGGAGCTGTTTCTGTCACCCGGACTTTCAACAGTGATTTCTATAATCATCAATGTGTCTGGCAGACCAAGCACCTCAATGTTCGGAAATGGTGGGATGGTGGGGACAGCAGTCGCCCTATCCAATGCACTTGGACTCAATCGAGACCCTTCAAGCTGGGATATCTCCCCACTGGAAAAGGCTCTCCGTATTCGAATTTGGTGGCTTGTTGTTATACATGATCGCTGGTGTAGTTTGGCCTATGGGACACCCTTACAAGTTCATCGGGCACAATATGATGTGCCATTTCCATCGGTGGATGACCTGTGCTCCACAGGTGCCTCGGCATACCAGAGAGCAGCAGCTTCTATTTTTGTCGCGCTCACAACCTTGACCGATGTGCTTGCTCGCTATTTGGAACATGTTTACTGCGTTTCAAAACACGCGTCTTATGCTGAAATGTCTGCAATGGACCTGGAGCAAGTTCTGAGTGACTGGGAAGAGTCTCTGGCTGACGACGTCCGTCGACTTGTTATTCGAGGGACAAACTTGGACGTTCCTGGAGCTGCGAACTTCCGACTCGCCTATTTGGCAGTAAAATTGCTCCTCCGACGCATCCAGCTTGATCTTAGCAATGGCTCTGCCCAGACGGAAGAAAGCACTCCCTCGCCGCTCCATATGCACGCGCAACGATCTGCCGAGGATATCACACATCTGATACAAGAGCTGGACGAGACGCAACTTCAAGGGTTCTGGATTCCAGTGCACGCATTTTCGATTACCTCAGCCACGATGTTCCTGCTTCGAAGCGGTCTTCGAATGAAAGGAAATAATCGGAATACGCCGCTCCATGTTGCAAAAGACATGATCAACACCCTTCAGGCCCACCGTCAAAGGTTTGACTGGGATATTGCAGATAACTGTCTTGCTCACTGTAGTGATTTGGTAGAAAAGCTTGGCATGGATAACCTTCAGACGGAGTATGACTTGTCTGCATCAGGATTTCCGGATTTGGCGGAGAATGATAATATAGATCCGTCTGTTCTAGAAGATCTTTTGTTTGGGACAAGAGGTTTGTCGGAAGGTTTTGTGCTTTGATACAGCGGATAATACAAATATGCCCTTGCTGTCTGTTGAGCAATATCCAATGCATGCATGTATGTTTGCTACAGACTGAGCCCCTTTGTTGGTTATTTGCTATTTGTTAGCTTGTCTGCAATTGAGCCTTGTTTAGATGGTTTTAGCAGGGTATATAAGCCCCTGCATTTCTAGTTTAATCAATTAATGATTCTTCCTCTGTTTTCTCCCCACATAGTAGTAATCTAGTTCAACAGGTTGCTCAACACTGTCTGCTATTTACCTTACGGTAATTAGGTGATAGAATGTTAGTTTGGCAGCCCGAACCTTAGCATCGCCCGGTGTTTACGTCTTTTGGCCCTACGCCCTCGAATTGTGGTATATCTTCAATGTTTGGCAAAGGGATTCTTCAGAGGTTTTGATGCCCTGTACTCCGAATTTCACCGCGGTATTCAACCTTGTTATTCGACAGAACTGTTGAGCAACCTGTTGAACTAGATTGCTACTATGTGGGGAGAAAGCAGAGGAAGAATCATTAATTGATTAAACTAGAAATGCAGGGGGTTATATACCGTGTTAAACCATCTGAACAATGCTCAATCTGTATCAAACAAGCTAGTAAATAGCAAACAAAAGGCTCAGTCTGTAGCAAATAACAAACATGCATGCATGGGAGATTGTTCAACAAGAACTAATACAATTAAACGGGGATATCACGGCTTTCGTCAGAAGCGACCTCCTGCCCGCTGATAATGATCGGGAGAACGCCATCTGTGCCCTTGAGCTCCACCTGTGTGGTGATCACAGTCTCACTGGTGACGTTCACGACCTCAATGGTATCATCGGTGCTATCGACACCGTTCACACCATTTACACCGTTGACCTCGTGGGCGCTGTCGCTGTCAATACCGTTGGTCTTCAATTGCTCCGTTTCTTCGGATTTATTGTCGGCAGCAGGGGCTGGCACATCCTCACTACCGCGGGTTTGCTTCCCCTCGGGATCAAGTCGAGTCAGCAGCTCCTGGGGAAGCTTCTGCGCCACAACTTCCACCAAATCCGTGATCGAGGCACCACCCAGAATCTTCATCACTGGAACGTCCACTGCGAGTTCTTTCAAGAACCACGATCTCACCTCCACAGCAACCAGACTGTCGACGCCCATATCCACCAGAGGCGTTGTGTCATAGAGGCTGTCAGAATCCGAAAGGAATCTCAGTGCTTGCAGCTTGGATTTGAAAGCACCTGGACGGCATTGTCAGTGATCATGTTTAATTGGGTAGGAGAGAAGTCCTGAAACTTGATTTTACGTACCTGAAAGCACCTTTACCGCGTCCTCCATGTTCTTAGCCGCTTCCAACAGTTGCCGGACTGGGACCGTGTTGCCACTTTCTCCCCCTTGAGTGCCGCCCTGTCCCACCTCTCGGATCAACAGCGACAATCTGGTATTGGTCTTCCAGTATGCGTCCTGGGACTGCTCAACAGAGATGGGTGCCAGACCAGTAATGAGCTCTGGGTTCAGGCCCGAGTCATGTCGTCCGGACAAGATGGCCTCGGCAAACAACTGATGCAGATCATTCTCGCTCATCGCGATGGTGCCAGATCGCGTGGTTAGTCGCTCCTGGTGCTCCTTGGTTAGGCGACCGTGGCTCTCACGCTCGATGAAGCCCAGTCCCACCAATCGAGTGATATCAATTGATGATCCAGCCAGACCCTGCTGACGGCGCCGGTCGATAAGTGCCTTGATGAAACAGTTTCCGGCAGTGTACGCCGACTGACCAGGGTTACCGACTGTTGCCGCGATCGAACTAAATCCGATAAACCAGTCCAGTGGCTGGCTGGGATCGGAGAAGAGTCGGTCAAGGTTAATTGTGCCTTGGATCTTGGGACGCAGGACTGCTTGGAAATCCTCGAAGCTCATCTTCATCAAGGAACTGTCTCGTAGAACCATGGCTCCATTCGCAACACCCCCAACGGGCGGCATGGACTGCCTGATGGTGTCAAATATCTGCTTCATGGATTCGAAGCTGGTGATATCACTAAGCAAGGAATCTGGTCAGCAATCTTCTTCCAAGTGGTGAGTTCCGTTAAACCAATAATCTGTTACTTACCCTGCGAAATAATTCACTGTCGCACCCCTTGACTTGTGCCATTGGATCCAGTCTGTGTCGGGATTGGGCGTACGACTGCTGAGCACAATATTGCGAGCATTGTGGGCGATCATGAAGTCGGCCAGGGATCGTCCAGTGTCTCCGGCGAGACCAGCTAGCCAGTACGTGCGGTCGGGGCGGAACAAGTCATCACGCTCGAAAATAGGTTCAACAGAGACCGGTACGTATTGATCCTCTTGCCAGTAAATCAGTGAGCTTGGGTTTGGAGAAACGAAGTTTGAAACCACTCGTTTCAATGGTAGGATGTCAAGTGGTGCGCCCTCTGGAGTTGCTTGTGCGGATAGCAGTGAGGAGGCAAAGGAAGCAGCACGACGGAGCAGATTTGTGATGGCTTCGGGGGCATCGTGCGGAAGAACGGACGCCTCCGATGCAGTCAGACTGGACATCTTGACTTTGTCACAGACCGATGAAAGGGAGGAAGTAATCTTGAATCCAAGTCTTTGAGATTCAGGCTCGGCTCCGGAGGCGTCGACGTACAAGGTAACGTCGGATGGTAAGAGAGCAGTGATGGCTCTCTTGGTACTATTAGGGTGAACATACACCCAGTTTCGGCCAGACATTTCGGGACTAGACGTCAGGAAACATGCCTTTTTGCCAAGTCTGCTCAACTGCTGAGATAGCAGTGATGCTGCAACTGGATCTGGCTCGTATGCCAACACAGTACCTGTGGGTGGCAGCATTTGCAATACCCATTGGACTGTGAGGTCGGCAATAACAAAGGACATGAATTGTCCGTCAACCTCGACCTCATCAATGGATACAGTCCAAGACTTGGGGACTTTCACGATAGACTCGTTGCGGTTGGAGAAGCAGAGTGTCTTGTCTCCTGTCTTGACATCTTCTCCAAGACTGACAAATACATATCCCACTGGAGTCTTGATGGAAGACAAGAAAGAGCAAGACACCTTGACGGTAACAAGGCCATGTGGGGATTTTTCAATGGTGTGTCGTTCCCGTAGCATGTAGGAGTTGTCGACGAAATCCAGCGCCAGAGGTGTTGTCTGGGTGTCCACCTCGTGAATCATAGACCTTTTGGATGAATTGTATCTATCGTTCTGGCCATCATGCGGACGGACTCTTGGGACATGGAGCTGGCCGTCCTTAAGGACCAGCTCTGGCTCGAACTCCCAATGTATCTTATCCGACTCGGCACGTCTGGAAATTTCCGATTGGAGCCTGAGCTGGCACATTGACTTCGCGATAACTGAACAATCATTCATATTTATGGAAGCGATATCCAGAGTCTGGAAAAGGGTTCCAGGAGCTTCGTAGAACAGTGTCCGGAAGAGACCGAGGGTAGTTCCAGCATGGGGGTTGTTCGATCGACGACCTTGGAGCAACCAGAGTACACTGACTGCAGAACCTATAACTGTCTTCAGGTTCGAGAAAATAGATTCCGTCATGTCCTCGAACAAGTTCGCATCGCACTCAGCGAGACACAGAACGTGGTAGCTCTCAGGGAGTGCTGGCAGATTGTCGAAACTCTTCAGCTTGATGACATCTGAAAATTGGGGCCTCAGCGTGAGGCAGATTTGGTCCCTGAATGGTGTGACAGACAGACTGCTGCCGCCAATAACCAACAAAGGGGATTCTGTCCGTACTAGGAGCTGAGTTGAGCGGCATGCTCAATTGGCTGGTAACATCGTTTTGTGCCCGAGAAACAATAATGGATCCGGGCACGCCCACTGGGTCGCGCATGGGCGAATTGGTTTCGATGCCACTGAAGCCAGTTTCCCGAAGAATAAGGTCCCAATCCTCAAGAGTAATACTGGGACCCCATTGACGACCGTCGTTCTCGCCGATCCACCAACCGGGGAGTCCGCCCATGACGAGACCATGGCGCATCACGTCGTTGCGGATGATCTCAACCATCACAAGGTAACCACCCGGTCGCAAGAGCTTTCGGGTATTCTCAAGCGCGGTACGCAATGACTCAGTCGCGTGCAAAACATTAGAGGCAACGACAACATCATAGGTGTGGGGGATGTAGTCCTGTCCAGTGGGATCCTTTGTGATATCCAGAGTCTTAAAATTCATCTTGTTGACATGAGAAGGGAAGTGTTCCGCAGCATGACCGAAGAAGCCACTCGAAATATCGGTATAAGTATATGACGCAAAGGAGTGTCCGATCTTCTCTAAGATTGCCTTGGTTGCACCACCAGTTCCGGCGCCCACCTCAAGGAAGTTCATTCGAGGAGATTTCAAGCAAAGCTGCTCCATAACCCCAGCAATCAGGAAGTTGAGCAGCTGGAATCCGATAGCATCCACATAGTACTGCTCAAGGTAGTTATCCTTCGTCATGTACTGCAGGATGCTGGTATCTCCATTCAGTACCGAAGGAAGAAGCATATTTTCTCCGACAGCTTTAGTCAGGTTGAAATCGGCATCTGTCACGGGATAGCTATAAAACTGTTAATAGAGGATCCGAATGAGGCATGTAACAAGGTACAAACTACTTACCTGTCGATCATCTTGAAAATATCCTCTCTGGTATCGTTCACCCAAGAGGGCGGGGCAAACGGATGCTTCCCGTCATTGACAATATGGAAGAGCCGCTCAGCATTCTTCAGCAGAGCTTGTCGATACCACGGAAGGGTCTCGCGTTGTGAAATACTGACTGAGAGATGGAAGGTCTTGAGGTAGTAGAATGCCGCACGCTCAGCGTCAAGAGCCTTTACGCTCTCCTGCCGAGTCGCCTCTCTGTCGCCAAAGATAACGTAGGCATCGGGCTTGTCAAGGCACAGGAATGGCTCCTGGAAAAGGTATCGGTCGTTATCCACAGTCGCTCCTGCGAACGGAGAAAAGGTGAGCCCCTCAACCTCGATGATCTTCTCCTTGAAATCCTCCGAGAAGACCTCCACATCTCCAGTGACGAAAGTATCTCGAGGATCGGTAATAGTGCAGTCGATCCCAACATTGTCTGCCATTTTGGTGCCGCAGAGGCCAGGGATAATCGAAACGCGACGACAGAAAGTCGGCGCCACGATGGTCCAGAGACGGCCATCTCCGGGGGCACTGTGGGCAGCATTCAGGCCCTGCAAGGCACTGTCCAGCATACCAGGGTGGAAGAGCAGAGGAGTTTCGGAATCATCGAAACCCTCGCATCGAATTGTTCCCGTCGCAAATCCAGATTTACGAGTCACATTCGTGAGGGCACGGAAGGGTCCCTCGTATCCGAATCCGAAGTCGTCTCGGAGGATCTTGTAAAAGCTGTCCACGTCCACTGCGTTCAGCTTCCCGAGGGGAGACAGTCTAGGTGAGAAGTGGAATTCCGAGTCCTCTCCCAGAAGCACACGAACACGACCGCAGCAGTTGAGTGCCAAGTTGGCGGAGTCTTTGCTGATTGTGGAGTAGGCCGTGAAGTCAGCTGTAATTTCCCTCGACTCGCCGTCGAGTGTAGAGATCTTGGCCATAGAAACGAGAAGCTCAGTTCCCGTGGACTCGTGGATGGCAATAGCTTTGCGGATTTCAAGATCGAGGAGATCAATCGACATCACTGTTCTACCCTGCGCAAGCTGCAGCGCTGCTTCCATGGCGAGGCAGATGTAAGCCGTGGCAGGGAATACAACCTGGCCTTGTAGCGAGTGTCCCGAGAGCCATTTGAGTTCGTTGATTTTTAGGATGTTTCGCCATCTCCATTCATCTGGTGTTCCATCCGGAGTTTGAACGCCCAGCAAGTCATGAAAGGGCGCCGGGTGGTTGTGGAAAGTTTTCATGAGTCTTGATTCAACAAAGTAGCCCTGGTCATGGGTCCAAGGGTACGTCGGGAGACCGTGGATCATCGTATATGGAGTATCCGGGTAACATGCTTGCTGGAAGGCTCCGAGACTCACAGCAGTAGGTCCAAAGTGACTCCACATAAACCCAAGTGTGTCGGAAAATGCTGCCATGCTGTCCTTTCCACGCTTCAAGGTACCGGTATATGGGATTTCCCGATAGCCTCCGTCATGAATAGAATCTTTGGTAGGGCCCTGCAAAGCAGGATGCGGTCCGACTTCTAAGGCACAGTTGATTGATTTGCCCAAAGATGTCATGCATGTTTGAACGGCTGGGCAGAACAGCACGGGCTGGACCATGTTATCGACCCAATATTGGCCATTTAACCCCTCCAGGCTAGTCATAATCTCGCCCTTTCGGACGCTGCTGAACCACTGCGGTGCATCGAGCCCAGGCTGGCGGACTTCAATGTTGCAATTTGTTAATGCCATGAGGTAGGATACAGCGCATTTACGCATGTGGGCCGAGTGGTAAGCAGTATCGACCTTCAAAACTCTGGCAAACTTTTCCTCCTCTTCCAAAACTCCCTGTGCTTGGGTGATAGCCGTGATATCACCCGACAGAGTCACGCTGGTTGGAGAGTTGTGGGCAGCGACAGAGATCTTCTCGACAAAGTCGTCAAGCTGACAAAGCTCACTGGCATCATCGATGGATGTTCCTACAGCTAGCATCGCTCCTTTCTCTCCAGAAGGGCCGGCGGCCATTTTGGCGTAGAATCCCCTGTAGTATGCGATGCGGATGGCATCGTGTGCAGTGATGAAGCCTGCAGCATAGGCCGCAGCAATCTCACCAGACGAATGACCAACAACTGCTTGGAACTTAATCCCTGCAGCGTGAAGAAGATCGACCAGAATTATCTGTACAGCGGTGCAGAGAGGCTGAGAAAGTGAGGCCTCGCCAACCGGTGCATTGCTGTCAGTGAGCACTTCGGCTAGAGTCCAGACTGGGCGGTGGTAAGAGGGCAAGCTTGCCAAAGATGCATCCAGCTCTTCCACTGTTTTTTGGGCCAGCGGAATCGATGAAATAAGCTGCGATCCCATACCTTGCCACTGAGCGCCCTGGCCAGTGAAAACACCCAGCAATGAAGCTTTGCCAGGCAAAGCTAAAATGGAAGATGAAGTGGGTTCTTTCCCTGATGCCGCCTCAATAGTAGACTGAATCCTCTCTCGAAGCTCTTCGATCGATGCAGCAGAAATTGCAAGTCTTCGCTGAAGCGCAGATCGCTTGGTGCTCAAATTGTACGCCAGTTCAGATATATCGATAGCTTCGTTCTTGTCAATGAATTCATAGGTGGACTGCAAGAGTGCTATAAGCGAGGTATCAGATACCGCAGAGAATACAGCTGGAATACAGCATGTTCTCGATGTGGCTGCCTGTATTTCAAGGGCTGGGCCACTCGGCGTTGTTGCATAAGTTTCAAGGATACAGTGAGAGTTGGTACCCCCAAAGCCAAAGCTGTTGACACTGTATTGTAGAAAAAGTCAGTAAGGAGTAATATTATTATTAAAGTCCGAGTCCGGGTCCACTCTTCAACTAACCTAGCTCTCCGTGGTCTGCCATCTGGTATTTGAGGCCAAGCTTGATTTGTCGTAGGAACATGAAGATTCCTAGTAAAGGGCTCAAGCTCGGGATTCAAGCTATTGAATAGTAGGTTTCGGGGCACAGTTGCATTTTGAAGGGCCAAACAAGCCTTCATAAGACCTGCCAGTCCCGCAGTACCCTCGGTGTGACCGACAACGGTCTTGATAGAACCGACGAAGAGTTCGCCTTCAGAATCAGGCTCGGGGAAGAATGCCTTCATGATAGCCTCAGCCTCTTGAGGATCGCTGAAAGAAGGTATATTAGATTTAATCCAACAATGCGCAGAAGGTTTCAACTCACCCGGCCTTGGTTCCTGTCCCATGAGCTTCAAAGTACTGGCACCGGTCCTCCTCCTTTGTCGGATCCAGCCCAGCCCGGGCATATGTGCCTCGAATTAGGGATGCCTGGGCTGTAGCACTGGGCATAGTTAAGCCCTTTGTCCGGCCGTCGTGGTTGACTCCCACTTCTCGGATCACGCATTCGATGTGATCTCCATCTTCAATAGCAGCGCTAAGAGTCTTCAACACGACGCAAGCAACACCCTCACCTCTGGCGTAGCCGTCCGCGTCGGCATCCCACATGTGACATCTAGAGGTCGGTGACAACATGCTAAGCTTGCTAAGTGTGATAAATGTGAAGGCCGATAAACACAGGTTTGTTCCACAAGCAACAGCAACGCGGCTGGTGCCATTCCGAAGGGACTGCACGGCTTCGTTCACAGCGACCATGCTAGATGAACAGGCGGTATCAATCGTCATGGACGGTCCATGCCAGTTGAAGAAGTAAGATAACCGACTCGAGGCGTTACTAGCTGCAGTGCCAGATGCAGCGTAGGTGGGAACGGAATTCACGTCCTGGCCGTTCAGCGCAAAGTAGTCCTGGGACATGAGGCCGACAAATACTCCGGTGTCGGACCCGGACAGATCGCTGAGAGTATGGCCCGAAGTTTCGAGGGCCTCGTATGCCACTTCCAGAAGAATTCGCTGCTGGGGATCGATGGCTTCTGCCTCGCCTGGAGGGACAGAGAAGAACTTGGCATCGAACTCACGAATATCCTCTGACAGAAGGTAGGCCTGGCGAGCGTTTGTGGTCCCGTGATGACTACCGACTTTATGATAGAAGCGATCTAGGTTGAATCGCGAAGAGGGAATGTCTTGGGCGACATCTGTTGGGTTGTTCAGGAGATCCCACAGCTTGGAGGGCGAGCTTGCACCTCCTGGGAAGCGACATCCCATGCCCACAATGGCAATGGGTTCATTCCTGGCTTGCGACATAGTAGAAAGGAGTGATTTTCAATGATAAGGAGAGTAGACTTGAGAGTTGATTCAAGTATAAGATGTTGCTTCAATGACTCCAGAGTTGATCAAGGGAAATGGATTTGTCTTCAGCAATCTGATTTCAAACCAGTTCAACAACCATCATCTATATATGCAATAACTACATGAATCCTACCATCTTATTGCATAGTTACGCTAAGATTAGAAAATGCCAAACTGTCTGCCTTACGAGGGCTGATGGGGCCAAAACTCGGGCTAAATGTTCGCTATACGCCGGTGGACCGGACCGTGGGGATGAACGCCGGTTGGAATGTAATTATATGAGAACCGGCAACTTAAGCTGACAGTTCAACAGTTCTGGATTCTATCTAGTCTATTATGATTTGGACTAGTAGATGCGCTTGTCTGGAGTGGAGGAATTTATTTTGAATCCTTACCACACCAAAAACGTCCATAGCTATTAGATCGTTTTACGTTCAACATCACGAACTTTCATCAACAATATTTCGCCCTTTTGCTTGTTCCACGCAATGCCTGGACTACCCTCCACTCAGACTGCCATTGTTGCCCTTAACGATGGCACTCTCGGCCTACGCGATGATATCTCAATTCCCGCCTTGGAGGAAGACATGATTTTGGTGAAGAATGCGTTCGTTGCGCTCAACCCAATTGACTCCAAAATGGTTGGCAAACTGGCATACCCTGGCGCAATCGGTGGTATGGACTTTGCGGGCGAAGTCATATCCATTGGCTCCAAAGTTCGAACTGCCGTACCCATCAAGTCTGGAGACCGAATTTGCGGAGCAGTTCCAGGAATGCATTCTCTCACCCCTTCGGTTGGCGCATTTGCGCAGATTGTCGGCGCAACAGATCTTACTACGATCAAGGTCCCGGACCACATGTCACTTGAACAAGCGGCAACGCTGGGAAGTGGAATTGGTACCATCGGTCTCGCACTCTTCAAGTCGCTGGATGTTCCTGGTTCTCCCAAGTCGCCAGCCAGCAAGCCAATAGATGTGCTGGTATATGGTGGTAGTACTTCCACTGGTACCCTCGCCATCCAATTGCTCAAACTGTAAGATTGCTATCACCCGTGCTTCATGAAGTTTGGGACCTCATGCATCTATCTAGGTCGGGACTTAACCCCATAGCGACTTGCTCACCAAGCAACTTTGAACTTGTGAAATCATCCGGAGCCACTGCAGTATTCGACTACCACGAGGAGACATGTGCGGATGATATTCGCAAACATACGCGTAATTCCCTCAAGTTTGTTCTTGACTGCATTTCGGAGCCAGAAACAATGCAATTTTGCTACAAATGTATTGGCAGGTCTGGAGGTAAATACACCGCACTGGAACCCTTCCCTGAGTTCCTCCATACCCGGCCGAACACGGTCGTTCCGGATTGGGTGTTGGGTCCAACACTCCTTGGTAAAAGGCTGGGTTGGCCAGAGCCATTCGGTAGAGAAGGAAATGAAGAGTATAGAAAGTTTGGTTTTGAGTGGTTTGCATTGGCGCAAGAGCTACTGGACGATGGCAAGTTGAAGACACATCCCCACAAATTAGTAGGTGAGAGTCTTGGGGAAACATTGGTTGGTCTTAAGCTTCTTAAGGACAAGAAGGTATCTGGATACAAGCTCGTCTGCGGAGTCTGATGATATCGATCGGAATTTCGGGGTCTATTAGCGGTTTAGGAGATACAATCACTAGCTTATATCTATTCTTTAGATTCCACGGAAATCACAATTCTTAGTGGAAACACACCAACCTGAGAACGAGGATTGATCTTGGTATCCATATCTCCCTGCTATTTAACTAACTGTATTTGAGTAACTGGATGTGTCAGGTAATATTGCCAATATATATATATTGCACTATTGCACTATTTTCATATCGAGCCGAGATTCACCATGAAGCGTATATATAGCCCTGTTTATGAACCGATACAGTCTCAGAGCAGTGGGATTTGAAATGTAGGTCGTAATTTATAAATAGTATCAACACCTCCACTAGTAATTCTGCTTAATCCTTCCACATAACTAGTGGCCAGTTTCCATGATTACTCTTTGTAGAAGTCGCCGGTCCATAGTCTTGGCACTGTAGGAGCGCATACGAACGTGCCGACGGTGCACCGGAATATCAGGCAACTAGTATACTTTTTCAGAAAGCGAGAAAGGCTTATATCCAGTCTCAGTTTCAAATGACATCCGTTTTCACGCGTATGTTAAGAAGATAAACGGTTACCATACCATATCCATCGAAACATTATTCACACAACAAATTATCACGAGGTTTCTCTCATTCAGTATAACTTTCAGGATGAGATCGTTTCTCGAGATATGGCTGTGTATGCTTACACTGACTGTGGTGGGAATTGTCTACCAGGCTTTCACCGGTGGATATTATACTGCATTGCTCTTCAAAGTGCTAGGCGCTGAGGTGTGTGCCTTTGTTGGCTTTGCGGTTTATTGGATGATTCTCTATCCTTACTATTTCACTCCTTTCTGGGATCTCCCAACCCCGAAGGTATGCATAGTCGTCTTGTTTGCATTATATCGAAAGACAACCTAATAATGAAGTAGCATCGAACAATTTTGACGGGAAATTACCCCGTCCTCTTCCCGGATAATGCATGGGTGCCACTGCGGAAGATTGTCGAGGACACTCCCAACGAAGGCCTTCTCCGAATATACTCAGCTTTGAATGGAGAGGTTCTCCTAGCGACAAGTCCAGCGGCAATCAGAGATATGCTCACGGTCAATGCCTTCGACTACGCTCACCAAAATCTGGTCAAAATTGCCATCAAAAGATTCACGGGTAGCAACCTTGGCTTTCTTAGCAACGAGGATTTCAAAGTATGTCAATGACAGAATCATGCTGCTCATCTAGAAGTCACAGCTGACGAAGACACACAGCTACACCGCAAGAATATGATGCCGGCTTTCACCGTGCCCCATGTTCGCAATCTTACTGATATCTTCTGGCGAAAGGCCCAGGAAATGGTCCAATGCATGGGGGACGAGTTGCACGCGAACCCTGACGCACCGATAAACTTCCGCGAATACGTTTCCCGCGCTACATTAGATAACATTGGGCTCGCCGGCATGGGACACGACTTCCAGACGTTGCAGCAGCCCGATAATGACCTCCGAAGCCACTACAGAAAATTGATTCTGGACCCTACCCGGTTATTCAGTTGGGTCGGGTTGCTCAGCCGATACTTCGATATGCGCCTTTTGATGAAGGTGCCTTTGAAAAAGCTCATTGAGATCTCCAACTCGTCGGATTACCTCCGTGGAATCACGGGTGGGGTCATCCGACAGAGAAAGGAAAAGCTAGTGGCAGGCGAGGACATGAGCAAAAAGGATATCGTCACTGTCGCTCTGGCAAGCGGTGTATTTGAAGAACACCATCTGATTGATCATGTCATGACCTTCCTCACTGCCGGCCATGAGTCCACCGCCACAGCATTCGAATGGACCATGTATGAGCTTGGAAGACGGCCGGAGATGCAGCAAAGGTTGAGAGCTGAGTTGCACGACGCCTTAGGAACCGACCTGGCAGTGACCGAACATGGTCCTCGCGGTCAGAATCTTCCCTACTTAAATGCCTTTTGCAACGAAGTCCTGCGGTGCTATCCCTTCTCTCCCATTATTATCAAAGTCGCCAAACAAGATACTGCGATAACCGGCCACCGAATTCCGAAAGGCACCGTTGTGATATACTCAGCCGAGGTGACGAACCACGACAAGACGCTCTGGGGACCAGATGCAGATGTTTTCAATCCGGACCGATGGATTGGAGAAGGAAAAGCCAACTCGGGAGGCGCATCTAGTAACTACGCTATGTTGACATTTGGAGCTGGGCCACGAAACTGCATTGGAGCCAATTTCGCGAGAGCGACTCTGGAATGTCTCGTCGCGGCTGTATTGTCTACGTTCGAGATCGAACTTGTCAACCCCGACACCGCTGGCAGGCTGAAGTTCGGTCAAACAAATAAGTCCGCAGAGGGAATCTTTGGTCGACTTAAGTTTGTCCGGCCGGCAAATGTGTGAGTGACATATACATGTCGGTGGACTTGAAATTTGTGCTTGGTATACAATATTTGGATTTGTTTATTCAGGATCAACCTAGTGTCATAAGACCACGTTTGTTTACCAAGGAATTACTGTTGTGGCATATTAGTGATAGAAATTGATTGAGCCAGATCGTTTCAACTGCCTGGAGTACGCAAATGCCGTGCAACAAAAAGTCGCCGGTCAAGCGGCACAGCACTCATATGGGAGGTTTGAGATGCGACGTAAGCCGGTGTAAGCTCTGTAATAGCAGTCTACAAGTTCGCGATCAAAAGGAAAGACAATTCGACGCTTAATATCCTCCAACAGCTCTAAGCCTCGTGAGATTTCATAAGAACTTGCAATGAATATCTGGAAACTTTCCGTTGGTATTCTGGCAGCGGTCAAGTCGGTTTGGAACCGCGGAAGCCCGTTTGCTGCACTCACAGCGCTGTGGCCGGCAAATGAAGACGGGAAATATATTATTCAAGCAGAAGGCATTCGCTTGGCTTTTACCAACCATGGAGCTGCTCTTACAAACCTTTGGTTGAACAACACCCATGGGGAAGAGATTGATATTGTCCTAGGCATGGACGATGCTCAGGATTACCCTCAACAAACGTCGAATCCGTACTTGAACGGAATCATAGGTATGTGATCTCTCTTTATCTTATACCAACATTCGAGAATGAATCTGCATCTCTCCGCAGCTCTTCCCCTCATAATCCAACCTGCGATTGCAATCCTCCGTTACCTTCACTCCGCCCAGAAACCTTACTAATATTCCAACCTCAGGACGATACGCTGGGTTCTTGAGCGGTGCGAGCTACGAGGTGGATGAAACACTCTATAATCTCACGGCGAACGCACACAACGGCACCTCGTTATACAATGGCGGCGAGAGGGGGTGGGGTCGGCAAACTTGGGACATCGCAGTGCATATCAACAACAGCATCACATTCGTCCTATTCGATAATCGGTGGAATGGTTTTCCGGGTATCTTCGCTTCCTGTGTGACACATACCGTTACGCCGTATGAATGGCGGATCGCTTTTGGGGTGACTCCGTTGCTGAAGGCTGGACCGATCAACTTCAGCCAACAAGTGTTCTTTAACCTTGATGGTTTCAGACCAAATGCCAGCGATACAGTGCTTGATCATAAACTTCATCTCCCGGTGGCTGGTATGCGATTCGATGTTGATGATCGTGGTATTCCGACTGGAGATATTCGAAGTAACGCGGAGGGGAAAGAATTCGACTTCTGGTCAACGCCGAAATATGTTGGGAAAGAGCTTCAAGAACAGGGGTCATTATTGGATGTGACTTATGCGCTGTCCCATAAGCCGTTGGGTGACAAGGAGGATGACCCTGTCGCGATACTCTCCTCGCATCTATCGGGTATCACCATGGAACTTTACACTGATCAGGACGCTCTCCACGTTCATACCTGGGATAATGAAATAAGTAAGAAACCCCGCTCCCTGTGGGTTAGAGTAAAAGCTGACAGTTTGTGTAGGTGGATTGAAGTTGAAGAAAGATCAAGGCGAAGGCAAGGTATCTCAGCACGGCGCGATATCGTTGGAGATGCAAGACTGGCCGGATGCCGTCCACCACCCGGAATGGAGACACCGAAAGACCATTTGGGGTATGGATGGACTGTTTACGAAATTTGCGACCTACAAGTTCTTGGTCAATGGGCAATAGAGGACTACAATTCACATATGGTTAAATGGAATCCATGGTCGCAACTAGATATATATATATAGAAGCTATGGAAGATAAGATGCTGGTTGCAAATAACAAATCACGAGTTTCTTCTTGAAGTTCTGTCATCATGGCCTCCCCGCTATACAGATATCATAGCTGGCGCAGTTGGCACAGAGTCACAATCATATTCCACCATAATTTTACCAGCAATATTATCCACATCCTGCGACTTGGCTGGAATCTCATGACCCCCCTTGAACCTCACAACGCTGACAAGTTTCTGATTAAAGTACTCCTTTGACAGCCTCGTCCCCTTAGACGACCAAGGGTCGGTACTCCCCTGAACATGAACAGACAAAATATCCAACGTCCCCGACAAAGGCTCAGCAGTCAGCGGCAACGAAGGACAAATCCCACAAATCATAATAGCGAACTTGATATCCACTCCAAGCTCCGGGTCAAGACATAAAGCAGTCGCCACACGCGTACCCTGACTAAAAGCCATGACGCCGACGACGCCCGGACCGTTCTGGCGCTCACGCTCTATCACGTCGGCCAGGTTATCACGTACCAAACGTCTTTCGCGGTCAATATCTTCAGCTGTGACGTCGAACAAGCCGATTGTGTTGGCATCTTGGTGCCAGCGTCTGTAGGGCTTGATTTCCGCGAAGTAGGGCTGGACTCCTACGCCGGGCTGGGGGGTTGTGATGGGAGAATCGACGAACAGGAAGCGGAATCGGGTCCCGAGAACTTGTATGATTTTCCGGGATTGATATTGAAAGATTGCCCCGTTGCTTCCGTGGCCGTGAAGGCAGATGATGGCGGGTCGCATTTCCGGGAGCATCGTGCCGGGGGTTGTTGAGGTGACTGTGTGTTTGGAGATGAATTGCGTAGTCGATCCCTGGAAAGAAAGACTTCTTTTCCCAAGAATCCTGTCTTTAATAAAACACCGTGTGTGTTAGAACCCCGGGCCAGCTTAGGGCATTCAGCGGACCGATTATACTAGTGCTCTAAAACTTGCCGGTGACCGGCGACTTCTGATATCGAAGGCTGGGGTAGAAGGTGGCCCATTTACAACTGCTTGGTTGGGCTCTGCCTCCGAACAGTCGAGGCTCGGATATTTCAGCATCCGTGTTGAAGGGCAAATATATAAATACTATTCAAAGTATATATGGTTTGGACTAATAATCCGAGCACTGTTAACCCTGACTATGGACTGTTCATAACTTGTGACAACTTCTCGAGTAACGATGTCTCCATCTCATACACCATATACACAGCAGCCTGTATCGAATTTGTTGTAGTGGCTACTTGTGACCCGTCTGTGGATGATAGATGGGATGACGGCCTTCCCCCGTGTTCAGGCGTCAGGAGGCTGATAGCGTCGCGCAGTTGATGAACCATGTTGAAGATCATGTAAGCCCTCACGGAAGTGCTCATTGCCGGTTGTGACGCAAGATTGAAAATGCCCAAGCTGACTAGCGCCAAGTTCCCAGCTTGGGGCTTGAGATTATCAACGGCGAGATCCAGCAGCTGCAGGGCATATGCGTAAGACGTAGCTACCTGCAGTACAGCAATGTAGTTTATCCTCAGTGGGTCTAATGCGGGGCGACAAGAGTTGTCCACAGGATTCCCGGGAGTAGGTGGTCCACTGGAGTCCGATTGGCGACCTGGAAGCAACTCTAACAGATCTTTACATGCGACCAGAACTTCATCCAGGGCCGGCTGGTGGGGTGTCGCTGATTCACTCGCGCCTGTCAACAGAGCGTTCAAATGGCACTGCAACCGCAGAAGCTCATCCATGCCGATCTTCACCGGGGTTGCCTTTTCCGACATCCCCATCCCAGAATCGGAGTGATCTGAACCCCCTCCTTTGTATCGGTGTCGGGGGTCCACTGGATTATATGATTGGGCATGCCCAACTGTCACGTCGTCGTTGGGTGGATTGGTGAAGTCGGAAGAATATAATTGTAAATACCAGTCCACATTCTCTCCAGGTATGGCTGACCAGGGCTTAGCTTGCGCTACCTGCCAGTCTCCGAGTGCAGGCTCATTGCGTGCGTATGTACCTTGAGGGAGAATGGAAGGATCCAGAAGGCCGAGAACGGGTTCAGGGTTCTCGGGAGGTTCACTAGATGCCGGATCAACATGATCCACATGTTCAACGGGCGTTAAGTTGTTGTTGGTGGTACGTTGTTGTCCGGACCGGACCGCCCGTCGTTTAGCTGTATGCTTCGCATGTCTGTCGCCGGCACCCGTTGAGGTGGTGTTATGAGCGGGCCGAGAGACTCTTGGCCGACCCATCTGGGCACTGGTATTGTACACGCAGTCTATATCAAGCCTCTCACATCGATCGCACCGACTCTCTGATCCACCTGTTCGCGTACAGCGATTTTTGAGTTCGTGGCATCGGTCACACGCCGCTCGGAGCTTCCCTTCACCGTTGGATTCTACACGCATCATCCCGCCGTGCTGGTTATAACAAGGGATCAAGTAGAACGATGTTGATATGTGTGTGTGAGTGTGTGTGTGTGTATATATTACAAAGGTTGGCTCAGAAAGGCCCGGGCCGACAACTCTCTTAATTGCCGTTTGTTGCACACTGTTTTGAATAAGCCATACCTTTTACAGTTAGCTTCTCATCGACCCATCGACCTCAGCCCCAGAGGGCCCCAATTGTAGTCTACAAAGTACATCTAGCCCGAGTTCGAGTTGTCATCCGCATATCGCCCCCACCATACAAGGCGGCGACTATGGGCTTCGAATGAGCCGGGAGTCCGGTAGCGGCTAGATCAACATCGCAAAGGAATTTGCCAATCTCTTTCACTAGAAATGAAGATTATACGGGCTGCAGATAGGACATTGGTGGTCGCGTTCTCAAGTGCCTATTCCCGAAGGACCACGGAGCAAGATAGACGCAATGCATGTCCGCATATTTTGGCCCCCGATTGCCCGATCAAGTGTGCTTATGGTCTATAACCCCGCTCAGGATACTGACTTTTTTTTTTGTGAACAGGTTCTTGTGAGCGTCAGGGCTTTCATGTTCACCAGAAGTGGATTACCAGGGGGTCAATCTTCCAGCTCGGGAATTTTAGATCTAGCCAACTGGTTCGGCAAGAGTATCCGACTTTAGCACATTCAATTTGAGAGGGTCTCGGAGGATGAAGCTCCTAAGCACTCGGTTAGCGGGTGGGGTAAAGGTTAGATGAAACGTAGCAATCAGGTCTAATCCACTTTACTCATCTTACTCAAGTCTATATATAGATCGGACTCTCGAAGCCGTGCCAAGCCCACTAACACCCACTACACCGTGCCAAGCCCGTTGTTGGCAGGCTTGACTGGATAACAGATTTTCAGATAACAAATTTTAAGAATTAAGTATCTTTTGTATGGTGTTACCATACAAAGGGTACCTAGTTACAATATCAATATAACATCAATTTTCTCAACTGTCCAAATGGTTAGGGGATATTGTATTGAGGTATCTTTTGTATGGAGTTACCATACAAAAGATACTTAATTCTTGAAATTTGTTATCCAGTCAAGCCTGCCAACACCGGGTACTAGTTGGTGTTGGTGGGCTTGGCACAGTGTAGTGGGTGCTTGGCACAGCCCCGGGGGGCTACAATACGATTTCTAAGGCCCACTGTCACTGCCCAGTGTTCTTGCCGTCCAACGTAAGCCTTAGCCCGTGTTAGGCTTTCTGCTAAGCATTAGCCTTGCACATCTCCCAATCTTGGAACGCCCCATTTTTTATCGGGACACGGAGACTTTCACACACATGCCCATAACCGCCGTTCAGTCCAGAAACTCGCCGGATGCACAACCAAGTAAATCCGAAAGTGGCTAGCCAGAAGTATCAAAAGACTCCCTCTAGGTCTTATACAAAAATGTCACTACCCAAGTCATACCTTCCACGGTAAATAAGCAACCACATTTCAGAACACCAACTCGTGCCACCGACCAAAATGCCTGTCTCAAGTTCGTCCATCCTATGGCCCATGGGCGGACACACGCTAACAAAGACACCCCAATAGCATCCCCCGAAGATTGGAGAAAGAAAGCGGCAGCCTACAAGGATATGACAGGTGGTTTGAATGTGAAGCCGATCACCGTCATGCTCGAGTGCTTGAATTCTCGCTTCCCGCTTTCGACCGCCACAGGTATATTGGATGATGGCTGCGGTCCAGGTCCAATTATGTCGCGTATCATTGACGAGTTTGGCTCCAGCCTCCCCGAGTCATGTACTCTGATTTGCTCGGATTTTGCGCCGGCCATGGTGGAACAAGTCGAGGAAGTCAAGAACCGCAAGATCAGTGACGATTCGGATTCGTTGTGGAATCGGGTCGATACTCAAGTCCTCGATTCCATGGATTTACATAGCATCGATGATGATTCACTGAGCCACGTTGCGGCGGGATGGGTAAGTGGGCGAAACCTGTCTCTTTGATTGCCGATTGTTGTTCGTATGCTCATTTTGCTTCACTTGTATGACAGTCTTTTTTCAACGCCAAAAGTCCCCTGAAGGCTTTGACTGAGGCCAGGCGGGTGTTGCAGCCAGGCGGCGTCCTGGCGGCTTCGTCGTGGGCGGAGACGGATTGGCTCAAGATCTTGAGAACCATCACCAAGATTGACCCAGCCCGTAGTCCCCCGTCTATCCCAGATGATTGGGCCAAGGCACCTAATCTCAAGGAGCAGCTGAAGACAGCGGGGTATCGCGACGTTGAGGTATATGAGGTGCCAGTCGACATACCGTTCCGGTCGTATGAGTCGTTTATCGGGGTGATGATGACACGTGTCACGCAGATGATGAATGCGAGCCAAGATCTCCCAGAGGAACAGATGGCGAAGTTGAAGATTTTGATGACGGAGGAGATGCGGAGCCTGTGTCCCACGGAGCCAGGAGTTTTGAAGGCAGTTTCACTCCTGGCGGTTGGGGTAAAATAACTGCAGTTTCCCATCATGCACTTCGTACTCTGTAAGACTCCTATATTCTAAATTATTTTTGGTAACTTGATAAAGTGAGTAGTAATGCGTCCATGGCCGTTTGGGGGTTTATTGAGAGATTCACCCCCAATACCTAGAAACATAGGTTATTCCTTGCCAACACAATCTCCTCAAGTTGTACCATAGAAGTAAGTGCGCCGTTGTTAGCATTTACAGTCAATGGCTGAATAGCTAACGGCTGGGGGAGGAAGGGAGAGGCAAAAATCGGTGGTATTCATTATCCTTTGGCGACGGAAAGAGAGTGATGAAGGGATGTCCGAATACAGCTATCCTTTCTCGTTTGAACTTATATGATGTGATGTAGCGCCCCCGGCGGAAAACCCAAGGTAATATTTTGCTGGCATATCGTTGGCCTCTTACCAGGCAGTAATTCCCTGCTTTTGGACGCCTATTCAGACGGCAGACGCTTTAGGATAAATGACGGCTACCTTAATAGCCGTGATTCCTAATATCTGCGCAGACATCAGTGATCCTTTATCGCTCTTCTATCTAGCGACGAAATAGTGCAATCAAAGTTTGTATCCTATCAAAAAGGAGTAAAACACCAAGAGTTGGCAGCTTCTAGGACGTGTGAATATCTTGTATCCACTAAGCATTATCGTGGCTGTCTAACATCATGCGACATGACGACCAGAACTTTCAAATATGACAAACCGGCATCGACTGTCCCGATCCTAAGGATACCTTACTTGGTCAATCGACATACCCCGAGCAATGTCTAAACCATCGAGATGATGGATATAGTCGGCGTTGAGCTTGCTGCGAATTATATCTCGCATGAAAGCCTGCACATGTTCGGCTGAATCGACTTGGGACAACCAACACTGCTTGATGATCTGTCCGCATGGAATAGTAGAAACATCAGGGAACTCATTTCTCTTAAAATACTCTTCCACTTGATCGCTAGGGATCTCCTCGTAGGGACTGGTTCTTTGAAAAACCTCGTAAAGAGTCGACCCGAGCGCAAATAGATCTGTAGCCACGGTAGGTAGGTCTCTCCAATATCGTGGGAGATAGAATCGAGTTCCCTTACCAGATGCCGGTTTAGACCCGTCTAGCGAAGAGCCAGAGAAGTCAATGATTTTGATATTAAGAGTCGCATCTAAGAGGAAATTTCGCGGTTTGATATCGCAGTGAAGTATGTCGTTACTATATAGGAGACAGACGGCTTACGCAATTTGGTGTGCCCACTTCAACTTCAGGCTTACCGGAATCGAGTTTTGGGCTTGAAGATAGGTTTTGAGGTCACCGTTTTTCATATACTCAAGAATAAGGCCATCCCTAGAGTGACCTAATATCCGTACCAGCCTTTCATGTGGGCCAAGGCGATGATAGATACTGGCTTCTTTGGCAATGTCCAGGATATGGTTTTCCATTTCAGCGTCAGGAAATGGTGATTTGAGGACGGTACCATCACCAAGGAGTTCCACAATCCCAGTTAGCCCACCAGAGATAAATTGTCCTTGAGCATCTCTGCTAATGGTTTCGACCTTTCCGTGTCTAGTTTCATTTGCTTCGTAATCGCATTGAGGTCCCTATGTAAGCTGGTCAGGAAGCTCTTGCGATAGAAAGGGACGGGCTCGACTTATACCGCTTCAATATCGTGACAAGTGGGCCAGTGGATCAGGCGTAACAAAGGAGAAATCAACGCAATCTCTATCCAGTCCTTGAGACTAAAGCATACTGATAGGAATCGCCGTAGTTTCTGCGACAAGAGTACAAAAGCCATTTGAAACGCGGCGGTTCTTGGTGATGCTGCATTGCTCGCGCAAGAGTTCCTGCCATGCCCGGGGGTTTGCAGGGTTTGCACTTCTTGTTGGCCTCAGGCCTTAACAATGTTGATGCCTGAGAATACCACCGTTTAGGGAGAAGTCATTTTCACAAGTCGTCATGTTCTAGTTGTAAATCTTTTGAAGAATACACAATCCTTTTTACATCCATCTTCTGAATGTTCAAATTCTCTACTATCACAAAACTCGCGTCTATAATCTATATACCACAGACCTATAGCTAAATACGTAGCGTAGTAGATAGCTTAGTCTTTTCCCCTGCTTCATCGATCTCAGCATCGATCACTTCGCTACTTGTTGTACACAAATAATGGATTACCCTTTCCCCCGAGACTCATAGAACAGGCTTGCCAGACCCCTACTTCTGTTCAACCTCTTCCGCTTCAGGATCCATACTCTTTACCGCATGGATTCTCGTCCACTTAACCCCGAAAGCAAAGCAGAATGCTGCGGCTGTCGTACCAACTGGAACAAACTATAGATGTCCATCAGTCAGCTAAAATCCCTCTATGCCATCGCCTCGGGAAGGGCCACTCACAAATGTGGAAGTAATAGCTTTGTTATAAGACTCCAAAACTGGACGCAACAGTCCGGGGAAGTTCGCATTGGTGATTCCACGGATATTGGCAGTTCCAGCGGCAGATAATAACGCTATCTGTGTAGCACTCAGACCATGGTCGTCCAAGGTCTTGCCCAGAATTGAACGGAACACGATACCGCCGAGAACTTGTGTGACTGTAGCACCCAGATATTGGAAGAATAGGTTGAGAGAGACGGCAGCGGGCATAAGCTCCGATTTATCATGGACCGCTAGTTGGACTATAAGAGAGGGCATTTGCTGGGCCATACCAACCCCGAGACCCTGGATGACTTGGAACCCGATCCAATGGCTGGATGGTGTATTAAATGGCTTGAACTGGGTGTACAACGCTGCGGCCGTGCACATAAAGAGAGGTCCAATGAAGAGCCATGGGTTATAGAAGTTGAGCTTCCGCGCTATTTAGTTTTAGCCTCCGTGACCTTTCAGGTGAAATCCAAGTATTAGGCTTACCTAGAATACCAGAAGATAGTGTTCCCACGATCTGAGCGAGAACTGAAGCTAGAACCCGCGTACCACTTTCTAGTGGACTTACGCCTTCCACGGCTTGGAACCACTCTGGAAGATAGTAGTTCAGGATGCCGAGAGACCCAAAATGACAGAAGGAAAATAAGACACTAAAGGTGACGCTTCGTCTGGTAATTAGATTCCCGGGTATCATAGCGTCATCACCCTGAAAGTATTCCCAGCTAACAAACAGTATGAGCATTACACCTGACCCCACAAAGAGACCGATGATTGTTGCCGATCCCCAAGGGTTTTGCGTGCCACCCCACATCATAGCGAGAAGCAACATGAAGACAGCGGGAATGAAGATTGCACATCCAATCAGATCGAGATTCTTAATCCGCTGGAGAGCTGTCCGATCGCGCTGAATAGATGGGGGTTTAAAGAACAAAAACATTGCGACTAATGTCACAGCACCTGGAGGAAGGTTGACCCAGAAACACCACCGCCACGTTGCCTTTTGCGTGAAAGCACCTCCTATAACGGGTGCAAGGATTAGACCCATAGCAAAGCAACTGCTACAGATACCCATAAGGAGCGGTTTCGCTTTATCCGAAGCAACCGTAAGAACAATAATAAACCCACCACTCGCGACGCCGGACGCCCCGATACCTGCGACTGCACGACCCACAATAAAGCTATTGCTAGTCGGAGCAAAGCCACAGATAAGGCTTCCGACCATAAAGATAGAGAAGAATATAATATAAATCCAGCGTAGGGGAAAGGTTACGCTTAGCTTTCCTGCCAGCGGAGTCAATGCGCATGTCGTGAGTGAATAGGCGGCCGGATACCAGGCCAGTTGCGACGTATCCTTGAATTCGGACGTAATAGATGGAATGGCCTATCCATGGTGTCAGATGATCCGATTTCCTAGGGACAAAAAGGGGGTGATAATAGTACTGTTGCAATAACGAAGATATCCAAGGACATCAGGAAAGCACCGAAGCATATGCCGATGAAAATAACCCAGAGCTTGAAGCCGTGCATCGCCGTTGGGTTCCCCTCTGGTTCCTCGGTACTGTTCTCATGTTGAGGTTGGGCAGTACTGCCAGCATCTTCTGACTTGGTAGCTCTGATCTGATCTGGAGACAAAGACATATCCCAGATCTAATTGTGTGAATCGTGTTGAAGTGAGTGGTACAACTCCTCTGGTAATAGTAATGGATTGCAAAATGCGTGTCGGACCGGCGACATCGAAACAAAGAAACTAAAGTCGCCGGTCCCGAATTGTGCATCTCTGATCCCTGTCTTCGGGAATTCCTTAGCCGTTCATAAAAGAGAAACGTGGCAAAACTATATGTTTAAATTAACTTACTCCTCCAGAGGGAATATAATAGGAAATTCGACGGTCGAGGACGATTATCGTATTACAATGTGTAGGCCAAAAAGTGAGGAGGGAGAGAGGGAGAGGGTTGGAGGGAAGATCTACCGATTATCTACCTTATGAGGAGTTGATGCCTAAGGCACCAACATATATCAAATGGTGGATTGACCAGTTGGCAACTCCAGCCTGCAATCGTGGCACCGCCTTCACCAACACCCGGAGTCCCCGCCGGCCAACGGACTGTTTCGCTGGGTGTGGTGCGCTGAAAAGGTCTGATATCGTGATGCCGGAAATGACTTGCGAATCGAATATCCAATGGTGTTGAAGGCGATACGGTTATCCTTTGTTTTAGTTACTGGGCAGCAATGAATTCCTATCTAAGCCGTTTAAGCACATTTAGGTTGGTAAATATAAGGAGGTAGAAGTAAAGTGAGGCGAAAGCAAAGTGAGGTGAAAGCTGTAAAGACCACGGTGGGGAGAAAGCAGAAGAAGAATCATAATCTATTCATAATCTATTCATAACTAGCAAACTATGCGCTCGTACTCACCTTCAATTTCCCGCATTAACACCTTTCGGAAAAGGTGCCATTCGGGTTCACTGCAGAAGTCCTAAAGAGAGCTGCCGAGCTCCTCGCTACCTCCACCGAATGGCAACGATACCTTCACCTCCTCGACACTCGGGACTCGATTGATGATATCCCAGTCACCAGTAATAGGTGGCCAGGGTCTTTCTCCACTGTGGCGCGTCTACAACAGCAAACAATGACCGTCGGAGAGATCCACGATAGGGACCGAATGCAGCGCACAGCCGAGGAAACTAGAGCTAGGCGCCGACGTATCCTTCCGCTTCCAGATGGTGAGGACGAGGCAACACCAAACGCGGTCGCCTTAATCCTTCTCCAAACAGTCTCCCACCTTACGCACTCCAACCTAGAGTGGGTACTGAACCGCGTGCACTTCAGATGCCAGTTCCACACTATGAAGTTCAATGCCTTTACAGATGGTGCATTGCGCTCGAAACAGACCAGGGACATCTTCGCTATCGTGGAGGCGAAGAAGAGGCTGCGCACTGTGGACACTGAGGCCATTCTAACCCAAGAGGCGTGTGAAGTAGTTGCGTGTGTGATGGACAACTCTAGGGAGATGGCCCGCTTCAACGAACAGTAAGTGTTACAGCATTCTCACGCTCAAACACCTCTAAGTATATAGGATCAAAGGATTTGACTAACAGACCACACTTCTCTAGTTTCATGTTGATTTTCCAGGATCGACATGAGCTTTTTATCACCTTTGCGTCTATCGAGGGAGCGTACGAAGGACACCTGCGGAACGGGACCGACACTGATAGCTTCCTTGTGATGAAGACATATGGTCCGTACCACACAGGCTCATGTGAGGAAATGGATGAATTCGGGCAAGTCATCCTCGGATCAATGTTGATCGTCAATCCGGTGGCTTAAGGTCGGCACACATGAATCCAAGCAGAATTTCCATATTCTTATACTTTGTTAGTCGAAAAATCCAGAAGGTCGGTCTTCTTGATGACTAGAACTTGCGGGGTGCAATGGGCTTCGATTACTCGGGCCTTCATTCGCCCGAAGATCGTGATAGCCATGACCTGTGTTGTAATTAATATATATTGGCTTGCATATAAGGGTATCTTAGATCTGTGCTCACTGGAATAGTGTTGGACTCCAGGCAATCCTCGCCTTCCAGCCGTGTAATCATAGTTGCGGTAAGGATCATCACCTCTGCCCGGGTCAGCGTTTCGCTGGGCTCTTCTTCAATCAAGATGCGGACTATAGTGTGTGGGGGTGTTCCTGCAGGATACAGCAATTTCTTTGGCACAAAGGCAGCGGCCGGCGAGCATCGCATCGATCCCCAAATAGCTGGGTAGAATCTATCGGTGATAACCGACGGCACAATAGCGCCACTGCGTAATACATATCAATATACCAATCTCTTGTCGCAATATGGCTTAATATCTTACCTCTTCACCTATTTGGACACTTATCTAAGATTAGGGTGGGATTCACCATCTCCCTGGATGTCGAACTCTCGGGGGAACTGGAAGAACATCCGCTCCAGGCCCAAAAATACATACCTGACCTGGGAATGAAGGCTCGGAACTAAGGGATGATTCTTGTCGTTATCCCATTCATCAGTGATTTCTCTCAGGTCTGCCGTGACTTCAGGGCCGGTTTCACAAACATCGGGAACCCATGCAGCACCTTGTGGTTCAAAGAAAATCGGACTGGAGGGATTGGACGCTGGGATCTCAAGGTGTTTTCCATTCTCATCTAGCATAAGAGGTCGACAATCGATGCCAAGAAATCCGTAAGAGGCAGGGTTTATATTTGTAGAAGGGTAAAGTTCGACGTCCCTGTAAATATTTTCGACCTTGGCGATGACTTGGCTACGGGCTTGGAGGTTGGCTGCAGCCCGTTGACCCGTACCAAAACCCAACGTAGGGAAGCTGGTAGGCATAATGATTGAATGGGAGTTAGTTGAAGAATCAAGATATGGTCGACAATGACCAGGTGAAGTGTAATATACGCCGTCTCCATGTGGCTCGTTCCACTCCCTTGTATGTTGTAGACATTGTTTACAGTGTTGCTGCCTAAGGCCTTCCACTCCCCATTTGGCTTTGTGTGTATCTCCAAATATACTTCACTGAGTATTCTGGGATCATTAATACCCCGCTTTGTGAATACGGCGTATGAAAATGGGCCTTTTAAACTTATATGCGATGATTTCGGCCCAGCAAATATGATCGTGAAAAGCGAGAAAGACCTTACAATTGTCGGGGTTGTGGATCTTAAGTGGGTGTATGCGGGACCGGCGCAGTTGTTCGGTTCAGCTCCTTGGTGGCTTCTTCATGACCGACCGGTTAATGAAGAGTGGGATTTCAAGGACGGCAACCCTCCCGAAGCCACAAAGTGATATTTCAGTTGTCTGAACATTTTTAAAGAAGCCTTGGCAAAGGAAGAAGCGAAAATGCCTAAAAGGCTAGGTACGGAACTCTCTGAGCTTGTCGAATGGTCCGAGGAGCTATGTGGTTTCATATGCTCCTATCTAGTGGATTCTTCGACTCCTTCAGTTTCCCTTGCATGCAGCTACTGCAATGCGTGAGTGCTCAGTGGTGGAGAGAACGTGTCAATGAGTTGGAAATCAGACCGGAGGTGAAACACTTTGCGGCCGACAAGCTCCAAGACTTGGATGAGTATGACAAAAAGGTCGATAAATCGAGGGGCTTAAGGACTCTCTAGATCGTGGCGAGATGACGAGGGATGAGTTTATTGTGGCCGTCGATGGACTTTTGGTTGTGAACCAATAACATCGTTATCTCCTTACTACATATACTCAAGAGCCTACGAGCAAGCGATTTGGTCTAATAAGTTTCAGTGTCTAAAGGCTTCAATGAAACAAAAAGAATCGTTAAGCTTGGATTTCATCTACTATTGGGCTCAATGAAGAATATAACATTATTAAAGGCTCATTTAATTCAACCGCATTGATCTCCTAGGGCTTAAGTATGGCTGAGCGGACGGGAAGCCCTATTTTTATGGTCGTATGTGACAAGTTACGTGCATAAATAGATTAGTTATAGAGTGCAATAGACTGGTGAAAAGGCATCGAATGAGCTACTCTGAAATATATGGGATTGTTAATTAAATATCTGTATGAAAATCACCTTAGTACTTCCCTTCTTCTCGGCGTTGGGGCCAACCTTGGAAGGTCGGGAGGACCTCGGGAGTTCAAACTTTAAATGCCTAAGTGACTACCTAGGTACCTAGGTACCTAGCTAGTACCTAGCTATGTTGTAGGTACTTACCTACATCATAGGTACTTACCTGTACCGAGTCGTTCTGCCTTCCCAAAATTTCACTGGAGAGACCTCGGGATATTTCCCTTTCTGGAAGTGAAACGAATTCCAAGGTCCCAATCCAGGGTTAGCCTCAAATGTGGAGCTTCCGGCCGAACCGGTCATATCTCGGAACCGACCATCGGCCCCGGCAGTTCGACTGCCATGAGACGTACATATTGGGATAACGATCGGCAAGGACCGAGTGAACAGTTCTTGCCAAAATCCCCTTGTTAAGCTGACCTTTTTTGTTCCCCGCGATACCTCCCTCCCTACAGCATCCCACAACTCTACTTACTCACTCTCTTCCAAAGCCCTGGAGGTAGCAGGAGCGAAAGCGGCTTCAGATGCTGACTAGCCTCTCAAGGCCACCTTGGAAACTATATACCTACCCTTCAACACCAAAGATTGCACCGTCCTTAATATCCCCACCACCTACTCGTGCTCAGAACCCTTGGCAATATGATAATTGATGGCGACCTGTCCTGCGAGACTACTATAAAGCATGCCGTCGTGACCTCCAGGTTGACCTTAACCCCAAGTCTAGTAAACACGTCGTCGTTCGTGGCTGGTTGAGGTAAGGCATCTGGCGAACAAGTCCGTGAAGCTGCTAGACAGATGTTGGGGTAGCCTTTCCCCTGTCTCGCTTACTCAATGAACCGCTCATTCCATTACACGGCTGTCTTTCTCTTTACCTCTTCTACAACTGGATGGAGATTCTTCAATTCCGCATCGTCGATATGCGTGGTGTCTATTGCGCACAGAGAGCAAAACAAGAAACAAGAAGCAGAACTGATCGATGAACAGGAAAAGCTGACTATGGCAGGCCACCCACTGTCACGAAGACATATGAACGGCTCCATGGAGACAGGAAGAAACACATCGGAAGAGAAGTCTGAAAGATACAAGCTGAGCAACGACAAACCGAACGCTTAAGTCGTGACTGGCAGTTGACAATTGTGATTGCGACCATTCAATGTTCCGAGCTGGCACCCGGGGACAGACAGTATATTTTCTGCACATCCGCCAACTCAGCCTCGAAGTCAACCTTGAGGTCCTTCAGCAGTCCATCGCCGAGATCGAAAACCCAACCGTGAACGATGGGGTACTGGTTCTCTTGGTAGCTCTGCTGGACAGCCGCGGTCTTGATGATATTCCTACAGGACTCCATCACGTTGAGTTCAATCAAACGATTATATCTCGCGTGCTCCTCGGGGATCCCGTCGAGTTCCTTCTCGTGCAAGCGATAAACGTCGCGGATGTTTCGGAGCCATGGGTTAAGCAAACCCAGGTCAGCAGGTGTCAAGGCCGCCTTGACCCCGCCACAGTTGTAGTGGCCGCACACAATGATGTGCTTGACCTTCAAGTGTCGCACAGCATAGTTGATCACGGACATAACGTTCAGGTCGACATTGGGAACTAGGTTGGCGATATTACGGTGAACGAAGACCTCGCCCGCCTCTAGACCCATGATCTCGTTGGCGGGGACACGGCTATCGCTACAACCTATGTACCTGATTGGTCGTTAGACGTGTTCCGATCTGACCAATTTTGACGAGCACGAGGTCATGTCTATGTTGCTTACAGATAGTCAGGCGATTGTCCAGCAGAAAGCTTGTCAAAAAAGGTGGCATCGGTCTCTTTCTTCGACGAGACCCATTTCTTGTTGTTCTGGAAGATGTGGTCAAGCGACTGCTTGAGATAGCGATTGATATTGGGTTTGGGGGCATCTTGTCAGCTGTGCAAAGGTTTCGCAGATGTGAATAGCGGTTCGAGGTTCTGCGACAGAGGTCAGTCAGATATTCCGAATCGGTTGGGACCTGACGATTTCGGAGGGGTTGGGCTTATATAAGCGCGTGCCAAGACTTTCCGCTGATCAATTTCAAGGTACTGCAGGTCTAGTGGTACGTAGGTAGCTACTTAATCAAATAATTACTTACTTTCGTCCTGTTTTTATATAATTTCTGAGCTGCTTTTAATTCGCTTTTCTACAATCTCAAGTCAGACAAAGTCCAAACCTTCCGCTGGCTACTCGTCGCTCTCCAGTTCCGCGTGGGGCTCCTCTTCGTCAAGCACTTACTATATATACCGTGACTCCGCTGGTCAACATTCCAACAGCCAGGGTCATACCAGTACAACCACTAAAACTCGCCGCCCTTCCGTGTCGCACTTCCATGTCACACTACCCCGGCGCCGGCCTGTCAGCAGGTCGCACACCTCGACGCCGCTGTCAGAGCGGCGCGCAAGGAGATTCCAGTCGGATAAAATAGTGAACAGCAACAGACCATCGAGCCAAAGTACTTCGAGTTCATATTATGATAAGACTCGGTTGTTCCACCCAGCACAAGCAGTACGGAGATTAGCTCAAAGCTGCTACCAATCCCAAAACACCGCCCGCGAATGGGAAAAACGAGCGAATGGTGTTGAGACTGGCCCATCTGTTCAGCAGGGGAGCCAATTGTGTTTCATCACGGACGGGTGTTTCCGACGAGTCTTTCATATTCGCAACCTCGAATATGCTCGTGTTTGTTGGTAACATAAAGAGAAGTGTCCACGGCACGATACTAATATTGAGGATTGCAGCTTCCCAGTATAACAAGGAGTGGGACTTCAAAGCCAACCAAATAAAGCCCCCTGCTCCTAGGATGGCAAATGGTGGCCCCAATGAATGACCTCTATGGTAAAATGCGACCCATTGCTTTGCAGCCAAATACTGGGAGGTTGGAGTGGCGACCAAGACTGCGGGCACTGCGCCCCAAGAGTAGGTGAATATTTCGCCTGTGTTAATTGACATGTTTAGTATCATGCGCTTTCTTATTGGAGACAGATAGATACATACCTGACAGCCAAAAGGATGACGAAATTGCAACGACTTTTGTTAAGATATCAGAGTTCATGTTGATAGTGTAAGAACTTCCCTTTTAATTGCCAACGTTTCAGACTTTATACCGTGGAAGAAAAGGTTGGAAGCTCGGATTGAATCGTTGGGTCAAAAACCGACACTACGTACATTCTGGATATCGGGTTTAGCGGCTGCGCCAAAACCCGCCAATATTATATGGCAGAAGGTCCCGCAAAGTCTGCGTAAGGAATGCCCTCTCAGGCATCTTTATTACTGCCTTATGTATATCTCATTGTTAATACCAATAGGGTTGACTCTCCCAAACCCGGGGGATGTGGTGTCATCGAATTCAAACTCTTCATTTATATATCAATCCATATATCCATGGATGGATCGTGAAGGGTTGACTCGATATAGGTGATATATCCTCAAATACAATATAACTAGAATAAATGTACATAGTTAACTATAATACTGCTCTAGAATAAGGTTGAGTATCAGAATGCCTTGGTCTCAACCAGTATTAGGTACCGACTAGTCTACCATTGACCTGACAGTGATTATAAAAGGACAGATGCAATTACCCAATCCACCATGCTCTTCCAAGGTAGTTCCTTACCTTATCCTTCTTCACCTTTTATCCCTAAGACGATGGACACACCCGATATTGACTGTTTTGATGTGGAATTTGCGGTGGATGCGATTGGATCGTCTGCCCAGGCTATCCGCTCTACTCTGGCACGTCTCCGGGAGCCCCCGAGCCTGATCACACTGTATGCGAAGTTCACGAATGTGTCACCAGATGTGGCGAGGTAGAATTCCAATGAAGGGTGCCGGAAAATGTACAACCCAGACACCCGCAGTAAGATCGTTACTACACCGGGTAAGCCCCACGATGCGCCGGCCGTTCAATTCAGATTCAATTCAGATTCAATTCAGATTCAATTCAGATTCAATTCAGATTCAATTCAGATTCAATTCAGATTCAATTCAGATTCAATTCAGATTTAATTCAGATTTAATTCACTTCAGAACTCCCTATACATATATAGGATACTAGGATACTAAGATACTAAGAAATTGAAAGAGTTGAGAGTTAGGAGTACAAAGAGCCCTGTATTTGAAAAATTAATATAGTGTTCATTTGTAAAAATACTATATAAAATAGTACGCTGTAGACTGTTGTAACGAGATATAACCGTGCCAAGCCCACCAACCGGTACCTAGTCGGTGTTGGTGGGCCCTAACCTTGGGGGCGCTGCGGGTAGGGCCGAGGGTCTTTCAGCCTCACGATGTTATTTAGTGTGGGGGCCTTTGACTATGATTGTACTTGTTCAAAAGGTATGTTCTTAGTACTAAGAATTCCTAAAAATAATGCTTGAATCTACGTTCCTCCGCCAGGGAGATATAACTAGCTCTCTCTTTATGATCGAGGTACCTCCGTATTATGTAAAGGGCAATTTAAGAGCTGAAAATGTAACGGAACACAGTGAACCGCAGATCCCAATCGCCAAGGGATGCAGTTTCTTCTTGGCACACAATATGGGAAGATTAGTTCCATAATACACACTGTTCCTGAGTTCGAGACAAGAAAGGGAGTGGCATCTTCAAATAGGGAAGTGAAAGGTCATTCGTAGTTAGATTTACCTTTGCATGTTGGTCGGTTGCCAGTTCCCAACCGATTTTCTAGCACCTTAAACCTGGCATGATCTACGGGCCGTGCATAGAGGTACTTAGGTATGTCGCACCTCTCAGGGGTTGGCCCTTGGGAAATGTTTACTTTTCCAACTCCCAAAATAAGCCTCCCTAAGGTCTGGTCCCTCCGCTTTTCCTTTCTCGGATTCTTCGGATTTGAAACAACGTCATTTTGTTCATTGTGAGATAACGGGGAGCTCCAATTCTGCTGCACTTCATGGCCAACCTGGCGTGGGTATGGCTGCTCTTGATCTCGGTGTCCCAGGTGGCTCAAAGCGCGTCAGGCCGAACTGTATGGAGAACGCCTAGCGGAAACAATAAAGACTTCGTTACTACGTATTATATTGGGTCTACGTTAACCATTGACTGGTCTGGTTGGGATCCTTCTGTCTTGGATCGCGATATGAATGGCACGAGTGAAGCCGATCTCTGGGTGAATGCATGGAACACCGATTTCTCTACGTGGTCCAAAAAGATTTCAAGTACGTGATCCCCAAACACAGATCATGAGATGCTAGACTGACAATATTGCGAAATAGCTAGCACAATAGACGTTTCGTACTCAGGAACTTTTAATTGGAAAGTCGCCATTGATGAGGAAGCGCTATCCGACACCAACGAGTACGGGTTCACTTTTAAACCAACCGGGGAAAGCTTTGCTCCCACTGAACCTCGTTTATACTCTCCGGGATTCCACGTGATGCCCAATAAGACAACATCCACATCTACCTCGGCGACCTCATCTATCCTGACGTCCTCATCTACCCCGACAACTACTCCAAGCTCAGAAGCGGCATCGTCTGATACGAGCGGGCTCTCAACTGGCGCGAAAGCAGGAATCGGCGTCGGTGTGAGCGTGGCCGGACTGGCGGTGCTGTCTGCGTTGGGGTTCCTCCTTTTCCGACGGCGACAACGATCATCACCGCAAGAGATGACTGGAAGTCGGGATCAAGCACCGGACGGCAGCTCCTACATGAAGGCTAAACCAGCGCCGCAGGAGCTTTTTACGCCACCGTCTGAGTTAGAATCGACGACCAGCATCCGAAGGGACATGATGTGATAGTATACTGTTGACATTGAATTTTGAGAGTACCTATTGCCTGTTTCCCCGACACGGATGTGTATACCAAGTGCAGATTGTTTTTGGAAGTCTTTATACAACATACAACTTTCACATTATTGTCCCAATGCGTGCGATCCCAGACCGGGACAATGGGGAACCCCACTATGAGGTGCGGCCGTGAATCCATGAAGATAGGGATATCCTTGTGACTTAGGACTTGATAGTTATTCGTTTGACTCGTCAGTGAAAGTCATTGACAGCCAATGCAATAATAGAAAGATGTGATGTCCACTTTTCACAAGGAACTGTTGGTTGCACCATGCGGTCTCGTAGATTCAACAGCTAGGGCTTATACTAGTATAGTCACATTTAAAGTGAAATAAATTCAAACTTGAGAGATTTAAGTAGAACTCCTCGAATGCTCACGAAGAGCAGGTATTGACTTGGCGTTGATGTTCCCTGCAAACAAGCCAAACTCTCTCCCCAATCCCCCGACAGACACAACCCCGTGGGCCGTCGGGTCCCCATCCCCGCATTCCTTCGCTCCACAACGAACCAGCATTATGGAACACTCTTGCTGCGGAGGAACGCCCTCTCGAATAGGCGCGACCCACGAGGTTGAGGTAAAAGAACCCGATACTTCCTCTGCGACTTGTTATGGCGGTGCGCCAATAGAGAAATCCAGTCAACAGAGCTCTTGCGGGGACCGTGTTACACAAAACAACAAAACGAGTAACAACAATAACAATACAACTTCCTCTGCCGAAAGTGAAGAGACCTGGCTCACTGGACCTACCGATCCTTGCAAGGGCAATGCTCGACGCGAAACTTGCGAGGGGGCTGCTGCAACGACCAGTCTACGGAGGCTATTGGTGAAAAGGAAATTGGTGCTTCTGCTTCTAAGGAAGCTTGTTGTGCAAGAAACCCTAACACTGAAGCTGTGAAGTTAGACCGCAGTGTTTCCTCCTCCAGTGCCCCATGGTCAAGCGACCCTGCTACTGCAGTTGAACCTACTGTGGCAGAGTGCTGCGAGGGCAAGTCTTCACCCTGCTGTGATGAGACCTGCCTCGACCGCCTGGCTTTACGCGAGTGTAATACGGGGCCAAGCACCCATTGCATGGCAGGAGCTGGACACTGTATGTTGAAATGAAATGGCTTATTTTTATATAACTCTACTGACTTTGGATGCAATGCAGCTTTTTCCTCAACATCTACACCGGTGGAACGTGCAAAGTTCAACCGCAGAGCTTGCGACCGTCACCATCGCTCGGTTAGAGAGCAGTATGCCGCCAGGCTTACAGCACTCGGATGTATCTGCCGTGCTCTTCTTGCCCTAGGCAAGGAATCATGTTGCGAGCCTCGAAAGCACTCTTCGCTGGGAAAGGGGCGGGGCTCTGAAAGGCCACTGAAACAGTCTCTTTCCCGCAGCTCGGTTGAATCTCACCACGCAAGTGGCACCTCTACAAGTCGATCGCCGCGTCGAAGCACCCAGAATGGTGGAAAGTACAAAGTTGCACGTGGTGTTGAAAACGGCACCAGCGAAAGATGTTCTTCCAAAACTTGCTCTAAGCCTAATATTACCACATCCAGTGTCAACTTCACCGACCCCTGCGCCCCCGAAACCGACGAAATAGAAGTCAACTCACCGGGTGGTTCCTGCGCTGATATTTGCTGCACCTCGAAAAAGCCTGCTTTGCTCAAAGACAAGAGCGGTGCTGTTAGCATTACCCCTGATCTAGAGAACCAGGCCATAGGCGTCGAGCACGTGGTTCTCTCGATATCCGGTATGACTTGCACTGGCTGCGAGACGAAACTCAACAGAACCCTTGCCACAGTGACAGGTGTAAAGAACTTGAGGACAAGTCTGGTTCTCTCTCGAGCTGAATTCGACTTGGACCTCAATCTCTCAACTGTGGACTTTATTATGAAGCACTTGGAGCGGACCACAGAATTCAAATGCGAGACCATCACCAGCAATGGGTCAACTATGGATATTATTGTTTCTGGAGATCCATTTTCGATCGTCAACCAGGCTTGGCCAGAAGGCGTGAGTGGCATATCGCTCGTCGAGGATTGTACTGTTCGTGTTTCTTTTGACCCGGAAGTGGTTGGGGCACGAGATCTCATTGAAAAACACTGGGGCGAGACTGCAAAGCTTGCCCCCATCTGTGCTGACCCAGCACTCGCAGCTGGAAGCAAGCATGTCCACCATTCTGGATTCATGACTCTCTTATCAGCAGTCCTCACCATCCCAGTGTTAGTCATGGCATGGGCTCCCATCCCCGAGAGAGAAATCGCCTATAGCTCTGCCTCACTAGCTTTGGCTACTGTTATTCAGGTTGTCATAGCAGGGCCTTTTTACCCTAAAGCTTTGAAGGCACTTCTCTTTTCGCGAGTCATTGAGATGGATCTTCTTATTGTGCTAAGTACCAGTGCGGCATACATCTTCTCTGTTGTTTCTTTCGGCTTTCTCGTCGCTGGTAAACCTCTCTCTACTGGCCAGTTCTTCGAGACAAGTACCCTTCTAGTTACATTGATAATGTTCGGACGATATATCGCCACCCTTGCCCGACAAAAAGCGGTAGAGTCAATCTCTATTCGATCACTCCAGGCCCAAACTGCCCTTCTCGTGGACAAATCAAACTCTTCGGAGGCCAAGGAAATTGACGTTAGGCTACTGCAATATGGAGACACGTTTAAAGTTCTTCCTGATGTGAAAATCCCAACCGACGGAACTGTCACATCTGGTTCATCTGAAGTAAACGAGTCGATGCTCACTGGAGAGTCCCGACCTGTTGAAAAAAGTCCCAAATCGCGTGTCATTGCAGGAACAATCAACGGGTCGGGAAGTCTAATTGTCAAGCTAACTCGCCTCCCGGGTGACAATATCATCAACACCATCGCCGCCATGGTTGATGAAGCCAAGCTTTCTAAACCAAAGATCCAAGAACTTGCCGACAAGGTGGCTTCCTATTTTGTTCCAGTCATTGTGGGCTTGACGATCGTCACATTTGTGGTTTGGGTTGCTGTTGGCATAGCGATGCAAGGCAAGACCGGTTCCGAAGCAACCGTCCAGGCCGTCACCTACGCCATCACCGTGCTCATCGTCTCCTGTCCTTGCGCCATTGGCCTTGCCGTACCGATGGTGGTTGTAATCTGCAGTGGTATCGCCGCGGAACGAGGGGTGATTTTCAAGTCCGCGCATGCCATCGAAGTCGCCCACAAGGCCTCTCACGTGGTTCTTGACAAGACAGGAACCCTGACCCAAGGAAAGCTCAGCGTAGCCGTTGAACACTACCTTGGAAACGGAGAATCAAGTCTATCACTCCTTTTGGGCCTGGTCGGCGACAGTAAGCACCCGGTTTCCGTTGCTGTCGGTAATCATCTTAGCCACAAGGGAATTGTTGCAACAGCTGTCCCCAACCTCAAAAGCGTGACCGGTCGAGGTGTGGAAGCAAAACTAGGTAGTCAAACGCTGCAAGCTGGGAATTCTCGTTGGCTAGAGCTTTCCACGCACCCCCTGGTCCAGCCGGTTCTCTCGCAAGGCTATACTGCGTTCTGCTTCGCCATCGATGGCGCACTACTTGCGGTATTCGGTCTCGAAGATTCTCTCCGAGCTGATGCAACCCACGTGGTCAATACTCTACAGAGACGCGGCGTGTCAGTTCATGTGATATCAGGCGATGATGAAGGCGCCGTGCAAAACGTGGCCACAACGTTACAAATCCCCGAGCGCAATGTTCACGCTCGTAGTTCTCCGGCAGACAAGCAGATATACATCAAAAATCTGCTAAACAATTGTTCGGATGGTAAGGTGCCAATTGTCATTTTCTGCGGGGATGGCACCAATGATGCCGTGGCGCTCGCACAAGCAACCATTGGTGTTCACCTGAATGAAGGTAGCGACGTTGCCAAGTCTGCAGCCGATGTCGTCCTTATGCGTCCAGATCTATCTCTCCTTCTCACCATGATGAATGTTGGCAAGGTCTCTGTGAGACGTATCAAATTCAACTTTATTTGGAGCTTTGTGTACAACACATTTGCCGTTCTCCTTGCGGCTGGGGCTTTTGTACATGCCAGAATTCCGCCTCAGTTTGCGGGTCTGGGAGAGCTAATCAGCGTACTGCCTGTGATCATCGCTGCTGTGCTCTTGCGGTGGTCTAAGATGTAGCTTGTGGGTGAAACAATCATTTCTTTTTATCTCGATTATCTTCTGGGAATATAAGGTTATGCTTTTCAATGGGATAGTGTATCTTCTTTTGATATGTCGAAGTGGCTTTGTGGGTTAATGTATGTACGGTTGTTTTCAACAAACAATACTCCGCATCGTACTAGGGAATCCAATGGTTTGTTTTTTTCTTTTATATCATTTCTCCGTATCAATATGAAAATGTATTTCAATACAGACTCTTATACTATCCTTAAATATAAAGATAAAATGCGATCCAATTGTATGGCACTGGCATACAGATCGCGTTTACTGTTTAATATAGACTCCTATATCTACCCTCAAGTATAAAGATGTTATCCAATTGTATGGCACACTGACACTTTTATAGACTGCATTTATTGTTCAATATAGACCCTCAAAATTGGTCATGAATATGAAAATAGGAAGTATCCCAAATGTGGATGATTCACATATTTGTGCACCAACTGGCGAGTGTCAAGTTGGCTCCCGAAACTCTGGTCACCGCCATCGCCACAAGGTGGCTTGTGTGCTTCTCCTCATCCAACCTCTTTTCCCATAACCACCCAACGTTGCCTGTTACCTATTCACCATATTTTGCTTGAGATATTCTATACCTTCGCACATCCCTTTTGATTCCCCTATCCAGTTTCGTTATCCTTCAACCAATGAACCGATCATCGCCGTGAAGAAGACCACACACACACACACAACCTTACAGACCGAGCCGCCATGGCGCGACGGTACGAGATCGATGAGCTGATATGGCTCCGCGGCTCGCCCCTTGTCGCAAAACCTCCTGGTCTGCCTCCAATTGAAGAGTGGATGTATGTTGGCTCCAATGATCGCAATTCTTCGACTGTCCCGCACTGTCAACGTGAAGACTGACCACAACCTCTAGGCCTCAACCTGATCCAACAACCACACAACGCAAACCCCATGGCACCCGTGATTCTAACAATCCGGCTGAGACTGGCACAAACAGAAGACCTAGCTTTTTTGAAGCCAAACATATCTCTCGGGGGTCCAACTCTGGTATTTATCATCTCCCTTTCCTATCGATCATCAGGTATCTTGATTGATCCGCAATCGAGGCATTTGCTAATGTGGGTTCTTTCTGCTTTTAGAGGACATTGTGCTCGGCCCCCCGAAAACCGCCTTTGCTTCATCTCGCATTGGCGGCAAAGGCTCGTTTGATCAGACAGACCGACCAGCGGTGCGGCCAAACGATTCGGATGAAACGAAGAACGACCGATTCAACTTCAGAGACAAGTTTTTCAAGGACCGCGATGCCCCAGATAAAGAATTAGATCGACGGGAGTCCAAGCCAGGGCCACTGACTGCCCGGCGCGGGGAAAGAGAAGACTGGAACGCTGGGCGCCCACGTCGCACATTCGGCCCGGATGAGCAGGAGCGCAAGCCTAGACGAAACGGCGAGTTCGATCGATGGGAAAACAGAGAGGGACATCGTGATCCCAATGCTGAACGGGTGCCCCGTGACAAAGATGGCCGATTCCCCACTCGGAAAGAAGGACAGCCCCCACGATCCAAATATGAAGGGAGCTGGTTCCGCGAGGAACAGGCCCAAGAGGGCGCTGATGCCGATGACGATAAAGCGCCGTTGCGCAACCGAGAATGGCGCCAAAACCAGACCCGACACGGCACCGAACGTGAGTGGAACCGTGGCGCCAAGTTTGAACAAGAACCTGAATGGCTGGATGCCAATGACCGAGACGAACCACGACGAGCACACACTCAGGAGGACTTTGAGCGGTGGAAAGAGCGTATGAAGGCTGGATCTGGATCATCCGCACAACCCCCGGTACATGCTGAGGAGAAAAGACAAGCACACGTTGAAGAGCAAAAGCCGGAGCTCCGCCGTACTGATGGTGAGATCTTCAGCAATTCCGGTGCTCAGTTCATGTCCGACGAGTCAATGGAACGATTCTTCGGACTATTGGGTGATTCGAAGGCTCAGCCTCAGACCCCAGAAGTCAGTACTCCTATTTCTGCCGATCCAGTCGCCAAAAAGGAACCCTCTCCCTTTCCCGGAAAGCCTGGAAAGTCATCTCGTTTTGCAGGTCTCTTTAGTCCCATGCCAGAGAGCCCTGCCAGAGAGCCCGAGCCAATGCCTTATTTCAGTGCCCCACCTCAGCCCCAGCATTATCAACAGCCGCCTCAGCCGGTGCCTGAGAGTATGCCTTTCCCATCGCACAATGCGGACCAAGAAGGCTTCCAGCGCATTCTACAAATGCTTGGTGGACAACGCTCGGAAAATTCTACGCCGCACGAGATGGGTTTGCCCCAGCAACAACGGAATATCTCCATGATGCACGCCGAGCAGCAACATGCCGCCCTATCTCTGTCATCTCCTTCCAGGGAACACCCCCACCGATCCGATTACATGGGCGCTGGCCCCGAGAATCCAATGGCCCAAGTTGGCCCCAAGGATCCCCAGGCGCTGGAGAGGGCGCACCTGCTTCGTTTGATGCAGCAAGTCCGAGTCGGTCCACCGCCTGCGGGTCATCTACCCCAGCAGTCTCCCAACTCGGGCATTGCCCCTCCCCCAGGTCTGATGCCAGAAGGCATGTCACGTCCTCCGCCAGGGCTTTCTGCTCAAAAGACGCCCACTTTCCTCGACGACCCGGCCATTGCGAACATGCAGCGACCGGATAGCGAGCATCTCCGTCGGCGACCTGCAAATGGTCCGCCTATGGGATTCTTTGACGATATGCCGTTCCCTCAGGGCAATCAAGGCCCCATGACCCCGGGTGGTCCTATCACTCCGGGTGGCTCGCGGCCTCCTCAAGGCCCGAGTCAGCCTCCTATGCCGCTTCAGCGACCCCCGGGACTCGAGCATCTGCCACCTCCTGGATGGACTGGCCAACCTGTCCCGCAGCAGGGTAATGTACCAAGCCCTATGGGCCCTCCTCCTGGAATATCCAATCCAGGCCGCGGTATGAACCCCAACTTCCCCCCTGGCATGCTTCCTATGCCCGGCAACGCGCCTCCAATGAATGAGCGCCAAGGCTTCCCTCGCGGTCTGCCTCCAGGCATGATGCCACCTCCGGGTTACATGAACGGCCCGCCCCCAGGCTTCCCTCCTATGCCGCCAAACCCTGAAGCCATGATGGGACTTGGTCCCGGTGGCCAGGGTCCCTTTGGACCTGGAAACCCTGGCCCACAGGGTCCTCCCTCGTCTAGACACCTTCTGGAGATGTTCGGCCAGTCCAACGGCGGTGATGTCCGTGGCGGCATGGTTGGTCCTGGTCAGTTCAGATAAACGGAAAATACCGAAAAAGGATTTCTAACGCCTCCTTACATTTACGCACCATTTACCACTGCCCAATCACCATTTATGATTATTTACGCTAGCTTGGTGAAGCCGATGTACAGGAGCACGTGATCTTAGTTTTTCATTTTCCATCCACCCAGATCCCACGTCAACGTCACACTTCCTTTTGAGAGAACAAAATACCCATTTTCTTGTCTTTTCTCCCCCGTTCCTCAGTGTATTTGCTCATGCTATTTCGGCAAAGTGATACCGGTATTCAATAACTGCCCCCTACTCCGCATTTTTAAGCCTTTGCTGCGTTGGCTCTGGCTTCTCTAGTGTGATTTTGCTGTATTTATTACCGGGCCTTTTTTTCCCTCTCCCCTGAATATTTTCCTTGGTGTTCTTGAAATCTCTCAAGGGTGATTTGTCCGTGCTGTGTCTTCTGGTGCTGGATCTGATGAGTACAGTCGTGACGACTATAACTTGGGGTTGACAATATGTGTTGATAAGGTGGTGGATGGATTGGCTTTTACCTATGACTTTACTGGGTCTCTGTTCTTCGCTGGTTGCCAGTAGACCCATGCTTTGTTCCCATAGATAACTGACCAGTCACAATCTATCCACCATTTGTTTGAGACTGGGATCCTTGTACAATGTTTCGTGTTCAAATCCATGAACGGCCGGGCCGATGGGTATATGTCTCGGCCCGATCTCAAGTCAAGCCTTGAACGCTTACTATTTTACGGCTGCCATATAAATCAAACAAGTGAGCCTATCCCTCCCTGCTCAGGAGCAGTACCTCACTACATAGTATGTAGTACTCTTCCTCCATTCTGAGCACGACAGCATATTGCCCCCTTCTACGCCGTAATACATAATTCATTTATTTGTACAGTGATTGCAGAATTTCCCTTCTCTAATTACGTATCGGCTGAGATCTTCTCTGTCTCGGTCTCGCTCTCTTCGTATTCTTTAGACCTTTTGCTAGCCCTATCTGTATCCGATGTGTCTGTGGGTCTTCTTCGTGATCTACTTATCTCTATATATCTTTTAATGAACACGCATATTCGGGGGAAAAGCCATGGCTCGTAGGGGCATAAGGGCCAGGATTTTTCAGATTTAATGTAAAGAATTGCAGTCTTAGTGCCTCAATCTGACCTTAATCATGACCGCTTTTAGATCCTAGGATATACTACCTGGGTAGTGTATTGTAAATCTTTCGGAACGGAATAACTAGTACTCCGGCCTTTGGCTTGCTGTCGTCTATTGCATCGTGAAGTCGTTTTCATGGCGATAGGAGATCATACTAGTACACACCAATTAGAAGTTTTTCATACCTTCAATTGCCTTATCTTAACTTATATTCTAGGGTATAGCTTTGTACTCTTCCTCCATTCTGAGCACGACAATAAGGTTAGATGCTGTCTAAGGTAGATATTCAGCGGGCCTCTGTAGTTGTAATTCAGGTATTTTGTTTTTCTACCATACACAAGGCATTAGTTAAGATATTGAGACATCGTATATATTAAAATCCGAAAGTAACCCTGGCCCCTCTACCCCTCTGCGTAGCCATATATAATTGGCGCTTATGCTGTGAGCTGATTGGGCGAGGGATAGGCACGTGACAACTCTTGCCCGCATCGATCTATAAAACGAACTATACAATAACTAACCACCTCTAATTCCCAACCATAATAAGGAGACTTACAACGTTCTTAGCTTTGTTATTATTCAGAAAATAGATATAACGTGTTGCCGGTGTTCAAATATCCTTATTTCAGGAGCCCAGATAATGTGAACCATATAGATCCCAACATCATGTCTAGTAACCTCCGTTGGATTCCGTCGACAGATTCCGTCGACGACTAAGCATAACCCCAGATGATGTGAATGTTATAGATCACAACATTACATCTAGTAACCTCCGCTGGATTCCGTCGACGGATTCCGTCGACGACTAAGCAGGACCCGCAAGGGGAGCGACTAAGCAATAGAAAACTCCGTCGTGTCTGGGAATAAACAACGAGTGTTTATATCTCAAATCCCATTTCTCCCATCTCTGCCCTGTCGTTACCGTCGACGCTATCGAAGGGAATATCGATAGCTTCAAGTGGTTTGGTATTGTAATCCAAACAGCCAAATATACCCCCCGTCTTGATCCTATACTAACATCTTCGAAGCACAGTCGTCAAAGCGCTCGAGTCAACCGGCAGTTGAGCGAACCGGATACCCAACGATATTTCGAATCCACGATATTGCAATATGTCTTCGTTAAGGGTATGATCTCTCTAATTACTTTTCCAAGTCAAATAAATAAGACATCCGCGATGTAAAGACTCGTGTCATGAAGGGCAATGTATACTAATTGAATCGCTGAGCAGACTTACCCGTTTCCCAAGGTGGAGGCGTACGTCACCATGGACGTGGACGAAGAGTGGGTAAGTATATTTCTCGGCCCTTTCCTCGTTCTCGCGCGCGTTGCCCATTGTGTCTCAACAAGCTAACGTTTGACGCTCTCGTGCGTCCACCCCTTAGGTCCATGAGATTGAGATCAAACTTTTCCCTCCCAGCTCGCCAACCCCGAGCCCGGAACCCGAGCAGGCAAGTCCAGCTAACGACACCTCGCGCGCTGTTGTGGAGTCTCCTGTGTCTCGACCTGGTAGACTCTCCCACATTCATCTCAGAATTACATTCCCCCGCTCGACGGACAACCCTGCCACGGACCCTTCCATTACATCCGACTCTACTGGGGTGAAGCGCAAGCGTGACAGTAGCCCGGAACCCGAGCAGGCAAGTCCAGCTAACGACACATCTTGCACTTTTGTGGAGTCTCCTCTGTCTCGACCTGGTATGTTCTCTCCCCTTTCATCCCATCTTCTTTCTATTGTTAAATATTTGGACGAGCAGCTGATCATTCCGAATCTAGGTGACAACGAGTGTCAGTCTCCCCCCTCAGTGCAATGGCTCCTCTTATTCCCATGGAGCTACCTGAGCTCAAACCCATTACTATTCCCAACTCGCGCGTTTGGGAGACCCACCGTCCATCTAGTTTCAATTTCGCTATTTACGAAGACCCCGAGGGCCAGGAGACCCCCAATGTCAGCCCTGTGGAGGAAAGTTTCAACATCGACCAGGATGAAGAGAACATCTTCCTCACTGCTCCCGACTCCGCTGACTCTGTTGTGGTGGAGGACACTCGCCCCAACTTCCCTGGACGTGAGGCTTCACTGGGCCATGCCGATGCCTTCGGCCTCCCGCTCCACCGGGAGATGTCTGATTTTATCAGACCTGTCCGACCTGCCATCAACCCGGTTCCCGAGCGCCACATGCGCCGCGGCCGAGAGGTCTTCCAGACCCTCTGGGCTGACGAGACACAAGTCCGCGGGGAGCGTAATGGTCGGCTGCGTAATGCGACTCTGACTGACACCCGGGCTCAGAGGGATGAAGGACTCGGGGATATCACCAGACGAGGACAGAATCGTCGCCGCTCTGGCCGCCAGCCTGCTCTGCGTAACAATGCTCCCGTCCAGGCTCGGCCCAACATTGAGAACGTTCGCCGCGTCCTTGATTTCCAGCAGCCCCAGGCCAGTCGCCCTGTCACTCCTGAGGGAGATGGAGAGCCTCAGCTGGAGCAGGAGGATGACCAGGACCAGTAAGCTGGGGACCTACAGCTGCGTGACGTCAATTTGTGCTCTCAATTCGAATATGCTTTTATGATTCACGGCATGTGTGATTAATTTATTGATAGCCGATGAATCTTTGCTATTAACTTTCCAAACAAAAGGTGCATCCTGCGTAAACATTCTCGTAGTACCAGATGTAATGTGTCGATGTCCTTTCAGATGTCTTTCTAAATGTCTTTCGAGATGTCTTTTTAGACACCTTTTCAGATAGCTATAAATGTCCATTTAAAATAATCAACCGCATCCTAATCTGCAATTCCTATGCAACGACCTTTCCATATATTATGCCAATATAATAGACAAATCCAGTACTTCTCGTATCCCATTTGTATAGCTTAATTAGGCCTAATAGGATATTGGGTAAGATTCAAGTTGACCAGCTAAAATTTGGCGTCGCTTCTGCTATGTAAATGTACTGAGTATCCTACAAAGGACGTCCTCCACTAAGAATAAAGGCTTATTTCAGCCATAAGCAGTTCATCTCAAAACCCTCCTGCGACGCAAAATGCCATGGTCCACATCGTTCCTGTTATTTGGTGTATTTTCGTTTTTCATCTTTTTTTGGTGTCCTTTTGGAATACTTCAGGACTAGTAGTTTGCTCTCCTTTCGTTCTCGCTCTTCATCTCATTGTCCATGCTTCTGCCGTAATGATCCCGGCCAACTAACTCCGTTGATTAACAGGCGTAGATCAAATGGCCTTTCGTGTGCCAATGGCTCTGGTAGTGGTTTTGGGCGTAGATTTGGACGCGCGGTTGCGCGTGGGATTTGACGCACTTTGGGCCGTCTCTTTGTACGGTACGACCCTGAATCCCTTCTTGGGGTCATCAATAACTTCACCAAACATCTGCAGCAGTTCTTTGAGCGTGCTTCGGGCCATGAGCACATTTTGACTCATGACCTCGCTGATCTGCTTGGCTTTGCGCGTCTGGGTCTCGTTCAACCAATCGTCAATGGACCCTTTAACCATTAGAATGATGCATTGGACATCTCGCTGTTGACCAATCCGCCAAAGGCGAAAGAACGCCTATTATTCGACAGGTTAGCTAACCCCGGGAGCTTCAACTTTCATTGATGACTTGCTTGGTCTTGGACAGGCTCGTTCCACCATAGGTCAACCAGTATGCACTTGTTTGCCACAGAGAAATCAAGACCTAGACCACCTGTCTTAATCGATGCAATCATGATCTTCGTTTCATCGTCATTTCGGAAATTGTCTAAATGAATTTCTCGTGACCTGTTGGCCATTCGACCCGCAATCTGGTGAAGCCATGTTAGATATGCGCTCTGTTGGTTCATTGTTCTCGAAACACTTACTTGGGAGCATTTCCAATCGTTATCTTCACACATGTACTTCAAAAGCCTAGTGCTGTTGACATACTGCGTAAATATCACGATCTTTGCGGTGCTGTCTTCTTCGAGCCACTTCTTGACTTGAGACGTGATTGCATCAAATTTGGCGCCTGGCATGGATCTCCCGTATTCTGCTATCCAGTCTTGTTTTTCGTCAATCTCTTCTTCACAGGGAACATCATCCTCGTCGGGGTTTTCGTCTTCCGCTGCGTCATGGTTCCCATGTTCGCTGTCGTCGCTTTCGCCGTCAAATTCGATTAGATTTCCGTCGGCCAATAACCATTCCGAGAAAGTGGAACCACAGCCTGTACCCATCCGGCGTTTCTTGGTTTGGTCTTCCCTTGCTGTACTTGTATCTGGCGTCGCTGGTCGCTTTTGCTGGCCCGCTCGTCCAAGAGAAGAAGACTCGGCAGCCTCCACTGGAGGTGTGTCGAAGTCATCGTAGATTCCGTAGAATGCAGCCTTTCTGATCGGCATTCTGCACGTACGGCACGATCGAGCGACACCATCGGTGTTTCCTTCTTCATCGGGGAGTGCGTCGAAACACTCTTCACAGTAAAGGTGTTGACAGTCCGTGATTATAGCCCTTGTTGGGAGCCCCTCACAGCCAGGACAGAACCAGGTGCGATGGTCACTCTCATAGTATGCTTCACGTCTCAAGAGATCTTTAATTTTATCCTCGAACTTTGACACAAGCTTTGCGCAATTGCCGGGCGGCCGTGGTCGAAGATTTTCGCTTGGTGTTCGAGCCCTCAGAGGAGCTGTAGGCATTCCGGTTTGGTATTTCCCTGCAATACAACACTTCGCAATTTTACTTGATGGGGACGGGTTTCCCTGGCTTTCTTCATCCCTCACCCAGCCCTTTAGCTGTGTAACCAGTCTGTTGTTGAAATTACACACCCGCTTGAGGTAATCTTCCGCGGTGAGTGGATGACTGGTGAACATCTGTAGCTTTAGGATCATCGTTAAAACGCATTTCCTCTGCTTTTTCATTTGAGTAGCTATAGCCATTTTAGCCGTGAATTCAATTGACTGCACTCTCGGGGGCTTCCAAGCTCACCATTGACTTTCTCGAGGAACTTCTCCGCGATTGCGCTGTAGATCTGCTTCTCAGCTGGGTAGAACTCAATCTTGACTTTCTTCAGATCTAATCTTTTGAGCTCGATGAGGGGCCTTCCCATATGACGGCTCTCGTGCGTCTTGCGATGGATGATGGCGCGAAGCGTATTGATCAACCGATCTTTAGCATGGTGCGTCCCCTAGATTGGCAAAATCTTGTTAAATGTGAAATTCTTTGAGCAAAAGCAAAACTTACATCGCAAAAGTTATGCATGAACACATCGTATGGGTGGCTGTTGGGGACATCGATGAATGCAAATAGAGCATAAAGTTCATCAACGGAGCTATGTTAGAGAGTCAGCCCCAAATTCCTTCTCGAATCCATTTTAAACATAGCCTGGACTCACTTATGCAAAGGTGTTCCGGTTAAAGCCCATTTGAAATTCCCACTTAGAGAACGAACTGCAATCGATGTTCTGGTCACCCTGTTCCTGATGATATGTGCTTCTGTAGACTTTACTTAGTGCCAGTCTCCTTTGGTTTCCATTTCCAGTCATGATTGACTTACCATCGAGAACAATCCTATGCCAGTGGATTTCATGAAAGACGCCTGCTTTCTGGTCATATTCCTGGTTCCACCATTCTTCGATGGCGGCTTCAGTCTTCAGCCCAGGGGGCAGCTTTAGATTAGGGTAGGAATAGGATATATCCGTGTACGTCGTCAACCTAGCTATTATTAGTAAAAACTTAGTTTGTCTCTGGTCGGAAGCAGCACTTACACAATGTTACATTGTCGGAAATAGTTGGCGAGGTTATTGGTCTTCACGCGTGCACCAGAGCAATGTGCAATGACAGTCCCGACTGCGTCAGGGTCACAATGTTGCCGAATCTGCGTCATCCTATGACATTCAGTGTTAAACGAGAATATTTAGTATAGTCTGAAGGAGGTGCCGTACCAGGTCTCTATCAAACTTCTCGGGGCGACAATCAGTGTCGGACCTTCTGGCTCAGTTGGCACTTTTCGATTCACAATGCACGCTAGAAATGCTTAGTTCTGTGCTTTGCCATAGTCTCTTGGCTCTATTGCTCTTACCCAGTGTCGACAGGGTCTTTCCAAATCCCATCACATCACAGAGTAAACCACCGTTCGGCTTGCCCGAAGAGGTCTCGCGTTTGCACTATATGGATCAGTACATTTGAGGTCCGAAGGAAGAAATCCGAACTCACCATCCAAGAGGTAGCCAATACCTGCTCTAAACGTTAATCGTTTATTTGATTAAAGTCAATGTGGAAAGAAGTGGACACAAACCTGGTTCACCATTAGAGGTGTTAACAGCCCTCTAACCTTCCATTTTCCTAAGCCGTCTGACTTTGCTGTTGGATTAAAAGTCTTTGTAGCTTCATTCAGGATGGATAGGTCTCCACGTGCTTCAGCCTTTTCTTCAACTGGGATACTAGCGAGCATCTCTCTGAAGGCCTTCTGCTTGTTTTTCTCCGTAGAGACAAACCCAGGGGGTAACGGATCCTTTCCTTTTTTGGTACCAGCATCCCGTCGGAAAATACTTTGGATTTCTTCGTTTGACAATAACGTGTGTTGGCGTCGAGCTTTTTTCCGATTTCCTTTTTCGTCAGGTGCCTTCGCCGTTTCAGCTTCAGGTTCAGATTCGGGTTCAGAATCAGATTCAGATTCAGGCTCGGTAGCCTTAGCAGCCTTTCGAGACCCTTCCTTGGAAAGCAACTGAGCAAGGCCAATTTCTTTGGACTTTCTAATTCCCGCTTTTGAGACTCGTGTAACCACTCGCTTTACTCGAGCAGGCCTTTTCGACTCTGACTGTTTGTCCTCTTGGGACTGAAGGTCTTTGGGTTGAGGCTGTTCTTCCAAGGCAGGACGAGAAGAATTATCACCCTCGGACCCATTTTCCGATTTTGCTTTTGCAGTCAGCTCACAAAGCTTGTCATTCCTAATCTTTCTTCTTCGTTGGAGCTCTTCTTCTCTCCGCTTTTCGAACTCAATCTGCTGTTCGATGGAAGGAGATTGCAGGCTTTGAAATTGTTTCTGGTATTCATCGAATCTAGGTCCGTCAGATTACCATTCCCATGAAGAGGTCCCCTTAACACTTACCCAGAAACGTGATCTTCGCCTAGCTCAAGCCACGGATCGCTGATGCCGGAGGAGACAGATCGGGGGGAATCATCATCCTGTACGAACAAGCCTTTGACTGAGCGGTCAATGATTTCAGTCGGGGCCATAGTCGTCTTCTGGCGCTTTTTGATGGCGGTCAATAATTCAGCACGTGGCATCGGACGTTTTTGAGCTGATGAATCCTCGTCATCTTCTGTGAGGTCAATGACAAGACGGCCTTCAACTTGCTGAGTATTGTTGAATTTCGGTGGTTCTATTTTGATTCCTGGTTCCGTCTTGATTCCTGGTTCCATTTTGATTCCTGGTTCCCGTTTGATGCTTGGTTCTTGTTTGATGGTCAATGGATTGCACCTGTCCCAGGTTCTGATTCCATGACCATTCTCATCGGGAAACTCTTTTTTGGTCCACGGCCAGTGTAATTCACCAAAGGCAGATTTGTCATTGCGCAGACTCTGCGCCGCTGAGTAGATTGTGTCTTGTGGCATGTATTGAGTCCCCTCGTTGGCTCTGAAAGTGAGATGGCGATCATTCAGTTTTAAATTGGAATGAAGCATATCCGGGACCCTGTTCTTGCTGCTGTTCTTGCTGGTTTCTTTCTGTCTTTCGGAGGACTCCATGGTGATCAAGTAAGGATGCAGGGTAGTAAGAACTAAAAAGTAAAAGCTGGATTAAGAAGACATTGCAACAAATAGGGATTTTGGAGAGGAGAGGAGGAATGTTTGGTAGGAAGGAAGTAGGAGCCTTTTATAACCCCCACAGAAAACAAAGCAATTAGATGGTTTAGGGGTATAAGAAGATGGATGTATAGGGTTGAGGAAAATACATAACGAGAAGGAAGTCCCTGGCTACTTCTACTAGTAAATGAAGTCCCTAGTTTAGGCTAGGTAATAATATAAAGGACAATATAACTAGCAAGTAAGTGTATAAAGGAGGAAAGAGGATGAATGTTCGGTGGGAAGGAAGCAGAAGCCTTTTATAACCACTATAGAGACGAGGCAATCAGATGAAGACCAATTCAAGCTTGGATTTGTAATTATAGATGTTGATAGTGTCGTAGCGGGGATATGAAGGAAGCAAAGTATAGTGTGAAGGAAATAAAAGCCTTTTATGGCCACCACGCCTAGGGAGACTAAGAAATCGAATACAAGTTGACTCGGGTTTTGCAACAACAGAATGAGTAGTTTGGCTAATTGCGTACTATCGAGAAATTATATGGCGAGAAAGGTTATTTAGCCACCCCCGCTAGTATATCAAGACTCGAATTTGGTTTGGCGATATAAAGGATAGTGTACTAACTAGTAACTAGGTGAAGAAGGACAGAGGATGAATGTTCGGGATGAAGGAAGTAGACGCCTTTTATAACCAGCACTTCTAGGGCTTGACACTTAGGGAGGCAAGGCCATTACGCGATGACTAGCTCGTTTTTGTCATTGTTGTAAAACTCTGTCGTGAAGAGAATGCGGAGGGAGGAATTATGTGGGGTGTGAAATAAACGAAGGCCTTTTATAACCCTTAGGGAGACGAAGCAACTAGAGAAATCAATCAGGTCATGACTCGAGTTTGGTTTGACAATGTATGAGGACAGTGTGGGAACGGGAATGCGAAGCAGGAAAGACGAAAGATATAGTGTGAAGAGCGCGGAAGCATTTCAGAACCACCCATCCTAGAGGTTGAGACCTAAATATCATTCTTCATATATAGATGAAGCTCGAGCTCCGGGCCCTATCTTAGAGGTCCATCGTGACAGCCCATACATTAGGGCTATCGTCACTATCTTCGTTGCCTGTACTTTAATCTGTATGTTCCTTTCGTCTGTTTTGACTTGAAATAATACACTATTTCAGGATACATGATATTCCTATGAAGAGAATAGTCGACCGCTTACACGGCCTCTATCCTTAATGAGTGCACCTATATTATTGCTATCGTTTTAGACCTGATAATGGGTATAAAATGATAGGGCATTAATGAGGATACTAAGGAAGACATCGAAAAAGACATCGAACAAACATGTTAGAATATTGTTGAGATGATCCCATCTCGTGTTGTTTGCTTGCAGACTAGGCGCTTGTTTGTCAGATTCAGGGTGTAAATATCCTGCTTTCCCATGGGTTGGATATCAAGATTCCTTCCTCTACATTCTCCTCGGTAGTAGTTTTATAAAATAGTGCTTTGAGGGTGCAGCTAAAAAGGATAAAGGATATAGCTGATGCGGCCTTTTGAAGTGTTCTCATACTTCAACTCATAAAGCACTTCAATTTCATCTTTCCGGGTAACAACCTCGACTCCTTTAAAGTACATTCTCTTAACATCTCTGCTTCGTCTTCAACGTGATGTTCATCAACCCTACTTAACCAACTTTGAACATCTGAACATCTCACCGAGGCATCATATATTTACTTTCGAACCATCGTTCCTCTTATACCCTTCCCCTTCCTACACCTAGACACTCTCAACTTGTCTCCACTACCCTTCTTCATTCCTTCAATATCTGTTCCATTCCTACCATAGTCACAGTCTTCACCGTTCACTTCCTCAATATCCCTCTACTCAGTTCGTTCCCCATCCGTATCTCTTACTCCTTCGCTCTATCCTTTTAACATCAACCTATATGTTCTCCTTGATTCTCCAATTCTATAATCTCTGATTCACAGACCTTCGACCATCATTCTCTCACCATCCTCTACTTCCCACTCAACTCAGCTCTTTTGTCGCCCTGGACTTAAACATCCTCTTCGCATCAACCTCTGGCATCATTTGCGTGCTCTAAGTTGCTATACTGGAGCCTTTCTTCATCTCTAACACAATTCACCGAGCTCCTGTCTCATCCCCTACCTCGAGTTCGAACACACCTGCGAGTTCTTTCTTCATTAAACCTTATTCACTCAACTCACTCAACCTTCTGTTCCCTCACTACACATTCTTGTACCCAAGACTGTGCCCGCATTTGTCTCACCATTCTATATTCCCGCACCATCTCCAGTACCATCCTTCAATTTTGATTCGCAAGAGCGAGTCGAAATGAACCAATCCATTGAATATACCATGAACCTAATTGAGGAGGTTCCCATGGAAGCTTCAAAGGAGGCTTCAATTACTGTCAACAACATGCAGCTAAAAGCTGAGGCAGAGGACCAGACAACCGGTCTTGCCAAATTTCCAGACCTGGAAATCAGCATCACAAGTGTCAAGCCAAATCAGGAACCCCGCGCAGTTCTCCTTGCTTCGAAGAAAGTGCACAACAATGAGGACCCTAATGTGGACCCCGAAGCAAAGGATTTGTCCAACGAGTCCGAGCAAGAATCGCCGGATCAAAGAGACTCGACCGAAAGCTCCAATGACGAGCAAGCTTCCGACGAAGATTACGAAACTATCTCGGATGATGAATCTGATGAGGATGAGGAGGAACCGTCTTTTGATGATGGTTCAGAGTTTGATCCCAGTGAATCGTCGACCAAGCCAACAAAAAAGAGGCCCGCGAAAAAGCGACAAAAGAAGGCAAAAGCTTCGTCAACCTTGAATGAGAAGGTCAAGAGCTTAATGTGCAATGATATACTCAGTGCTGCAAATGCCAATGCGGATGCGAGCGATATGCACATCCCTGTTTCCCAGCTAAAAGATAAGTCGAAAGCGCTTAATGAGGTGGTTTCGAAGCTTTCCATTGAGGACCAGCCACAAGCCAAAAGGGATGTCCATGCACTGGTTGAGTTCTCTAAGAAGTTCGACCCTTCGGCAAAAATCGTTGATATGAATTGGAAGGTTGGCGGACTGAACACACTGTTGAAACACCATCAGGTTCGAATCTCTATCAAACCGACACTATGATATGGGACTAACTATTGAAAAAGCTGAAGGCTGCTGCATGGATGGTAGGCTTGATATTCTTGGTATTGAGACATGATGTCTAGCTAACCTGAATAGCGCGACCGCGAAAGCTCACCGGAGGAGCCAAATGGAGGCTTGCTCTGCGACGAGATGGGACTCGGGAAAACACTGACGGTTCTCGGTAAGAACAAATGATAGTTATAGGGTTATGGTATCAAGAAGCTTACATTTCTCACCAGCAACTATCGCGCACGAAAGGATCCCCCGTCGTTCAAACGCCCCTACCCTGATCGTTGTGCCGAGAAGCTTGATTGCACAGTGGTATATATCACTCCTAGCCTCACGGGTCAAGGCTGTTTGTTTTTCCTAACCTGAATGCCATAGGATCAATCAAATCCAAACCCATTGCGTGCCAAAGATAAGCAGCAGCGTTTTCGAGTATTGCGCCGGTTCACAAGCAACCCCGAGCGCTGCTGTGAAAACGATGGAAACAAAGCGCATTGTGTAAGACAACATTTCAAGCGAGTTATGGTCTGTTTTATGTCCAGTTACTGACTTTATAGGATTACCACATATGAGCAAATCTGCAGTTCACATCCGAAGTTGAAGCCGCCAGCGACCACCAGGTCTCCTGAAGAGCAAGAGGCCTGGAAGAAGGAAGAATTTGATTGCAGAGCTGGACCTTTCCATAAGATTGACTGGCACCGGATCGTCCTTGATGGTATGTGCATGGCGTCGTCAGAATATATCCACGTTGATACTAATCCGGCTTCGTAGAGGCTCATGCAATCAAGAACAAAGATTCCGCAACCTCTCTCGCTGTCCGAGCCTTGAAAGGCAAATTCAAATGGGCCATGAGCGGAACACCTTTGCACAAGTACGCACTATCTACTGTGGGTTTGAAATGACTGGAATCATGTGTACTAACTATATATTCCAGCGGCGTGGAAGAACTGTATCCATACCTCCATTTCATCTTTACATCGGGAAAATTGGAGTACGAGACTTTTTTGAAGAAGTATTCCAATGTAAGTCTCGCCAATCTTTTACTTCGAAATCGGAAACTAACCTTTCACTTAGGGGTTGAACAACATCCTGGAAATCGTGCTGCACCGCAGCACATACAGTACGCGGATGCTTGGCAAGCCCATCGTGTCGCTCCCAGGAATCAAAAGCAGAGTTGTGGAGGTCGAGCTTTCAGCAGCTGAAAGGCTGCTTTACCGGGAAATCCAGGATCTTGGCATTGCGATGATTGAGGGTAAGCCTGGCAATACTAGTGATGAGGCAACCCGCTAACACAGTCTATCAGGAACGGCGGATACAAAACTAAAACAAAGCAGATGTATCTTTGCCGTGATAACAATGCTCAGAATGTTTGTGAGCCACCCGCTGCTCATTCAAAAATCTCTAGAGGCCATTCTCAACAAAGGCGTGATCGAAGCGCTCAAGGACATGGCGCAAAACGGTGTGCCCGAGACCGCATCTGAAACCATTATCGACTTGCTTCTCGCTCTGGGAGACAAAGTTGCTCGACCCAGGCTTCCGGGAAACTTTGTGGAGCTTCGCGGCATATATTACAACCACATGGAGAAAGTCCGTCAAGACAAGGGGGTAGTTGAAGAGCTCAAGTACAGGCTATGCCCTCGTTGCAATGTGATCGTGAAGGAAGAACTGGGCTTTGTTATTACGTCTTGCTACCACCTTTACTGTAAAGGCTGCTTCGACGAGCTTCCTGATGAAAACGGAAACCTCGATACCATCACCCGAGTTTGCAGCTCTTGCAAGAACCCCATCGAGGAGGCCGGATATTCCGATGATGCACCAGAGAACTCGCCAAAGAAGGGCACGCCAAAGAAAAGAAAGCAGTCAAAGCTGAAGCCAAAGGGCAACAACGTTTTTGGCAAGCGACATTCAAAGGATTTCAAACAAAAGTTCCTACGCAAAGATCCATCCGATGATGAGTGGAATGAGCCCAGTGAGGATGAGGATGATTGGATTTCGCGGGTTGGCGATGGCATGCCATCTGCGAAAACCACAGCGGTTCGGGAACTCGTCACAAACTGGGTGAAAGATGATGAGAACGTTAAGATCGTGATCTTCGTTCAGTTCCTGAAGACCGTCCGACTTCTTCAGTTCATGTGTGAGGAAGAGGGCTGGAAATACGTAGTTGTACGTCAAGGTCGGGAAAACGAAATGAGTCACATAACTAACAGCGTCAATACAGATTACAGGGAGAGTATCTCCCGTCTCGCGTGATAAACAAATCGAGCAATTCGGCGAGCAGAAGGACATCAAGATCATGATTTCTTCCTTGAGGACTGGCGGCGTGGGTCTCAATTTGACTATGGCCAACAAGTGCATCCTCGTGGATCCTTGGTGGAATGAAGCAATCCAAGACCAGGTAAGGGAGCCAGGACTCGGATCTTAGAAAGGCTGAAAGGGCCATTAGCAAGCTAACGTTGGATCTGCTAGGCTTACTGTCGACTGTACCGCATCGGACAACCGCGCGTTGTGGAATCCGTCCAGGTTGTGGCCAAAGGATCCATTGACGACTATATGGTCGAGTTGCAGAAAAGGAAGACCCAGAATATCCGTCAGGTGTTCAATGCAGATGCGCTCAAGGAGATCCTCGGTCTCTCTGGGGAAATCCGTGAAAAGCCAAACGGTGGATTCTCCATTTTCAATAACAAGGGAAACAGTCATGTCCACAGCTGGGTCCGGGTTGTCGAATCAGGGATCCTCGATGTGGATTCTTCAGAAGAAGATTAAGAGATTAGTTGGTGACTAGGCGAAGAAGAAAAAGAAAAGAGCAAAAAAGAATTACATTGAAGAAGAGGAAAGGGGAAGAACGATGGATTTGAGCAGTGGCTTGTTTGAGCTTCAGCTACGAAGGGCATTTTATTCTTATTGCACTGCCCAGATGGGTTTCCTAGACATCTACACTCATTTGACTTCAGAAAAGGTGACCGTGCTGCGTAGTCAATGGTATAAAGACTTGAAAAACGTACAGGCTAGTCTATTAAATAGAGAATAAGAAGGCAATAAGTAGGAGGGATAGAAGAGGAAAAATCATCCATATCATTCAGAGTCCTAACCAAAAGTGGCCGGTTGAATATAAATACATCACGCAATACATACTCGAAATCAAGAATCGTCAAGCATGGTATAAGATGTCCAATTTTATGGCCAAAATCCTCACAACAAAACATTGACATGAGACGTCAACAAGCGAGCACCACCGATGGATTACTTTAAAGATTATAGAAAGGAAAAGCGAGAGGCCCAGGAGTTGTATAAGCTCCAGAACCAATCTTAGATGGACAAATATAACAAAATATCCGAGGTAGAGCGGGCCAGTCAAGTGGACTAGCTAGCTGGGTATCACAGAAGAAACCGGGTCGGCGATGACATGTCTGTATACAAGGCATATAAACAAGGCGCATTCGTCGGCCGGTGAGACAGATCATTGACTAGACACTCTTAACGAGGACTGCATCAAGATCGAGCATGGAGAGAAAGCGTTCAGTAGTCAATCTTCTCCTCGTAGATAGGGGGCTGGCCCTTCTCCTCGTTCCATTGGATCTTGCACTTCTCGTCGAGATAGGCATCCTCGTCCGTGATGGGGATGACGCGCGAGGTGTGTGCGACTTCCTGGGAACTGACTCCAATGGCGTCGCGGGGAATCCAGAGAAGAGGAGGCTGCGAGGTGATGGCGGGGTGGCAGTAGGCGTCACGCTCGACCTCGGCGGAGTAGGTGGGGATCTCCGAGGAGCTGGGAACCAGCTTGCGCAGCTGGTGGTAGTTGTGGTACAGGTCCGGACGCAGGAACTTGGTGAACAGGTTCGGCTTAGGGGCTGGGGATGAAGTATCGGTGAGACCCTTCTCGGCAGAGTCGACGCTGCCGAGGCCGTTGTCCACATTGGCGACGCCGCTGTCGCGGGGGGCCGAGATAGAGCCGCTGGCGCCATTCAGGTCGTCATCCTTCGACTTCTCGTTCAACGTATTGACGTTGCCCTTCTCCGCGGCGAGCAGACTCTCCTCCTCGGCCTCGAGGTTTTTGGGCAAGTAGTTGAGGAGGGGCTCCATGGCGGCGTTCATCGAGAGGTGGAACAGGATGATAAAGATCAAGAAGATGATCATCAGGATCAGGGGACCAAGAGCCATTGTGTCGGCACCGGAGCCTATAGCGAACAGGCCAATCAGACAAACCATGGACAGATAGCAGCCGACAGTGAGCTGCTGCAGACCACGGGTGTAGGTCCGGCCCTGGGTGTCGATGGTTGCGTTCGACACATACAACAGGTTGTACCGGAAGGCGAAATAGAACAGGTAGAGGCCAATGGTACCGAAGCCCATGACAAGCGGCGCAATGCAAGAGTAGACAATTGCTATAACGGAAGTTAGTATCGTAATTCGAATACACCAGTTCCGGGGTTTAACATACCGACGACGGTCAACAATGTGAAGGCAGGGTAAACAGTGCCCCATCCGAGACCAGCCAGGCTTGACCAACGAGTGTACATCTTGCGAGGGGTGCTATCGAGCAGCTTGCCCAGGATCTTGCCGATGATGAGGCCAGCAATCTGGAGAAGAGCACCGGCGCTGAAAGACAATCCCTGCAGAACGATGTAGGAGATGTAGAAGTTGGATGCGGTAGGGATCTTCTCGGCCAGCAGCGAGGCAGCCGAGGAGGGTTGTTCAATGATATCACTAACGACACTTGTAGCCGATGAGGCAACGGTCACCACCAGGAAGACCTGAACCACTTGGAAAGCGAAGAACCAATTCTGGACGGTCAATTCAACGGCAGCGAGACTGGGAGCACCACCCAACTTCGCCATCAGGCGAAGGATGATAGGGACCAGCGCCATGAGGACAGCCATCATGATAGTGGGCAGAAGACCGGTGATAACACCCTTAATCCATGACGGAACACTGTCGATGAACTTCAGGAAAGGAACAATCGAGGTCAAAGAGTCGATGTTGGAAATGGCACCAACAACGGCAGTGGGAATGGCCCAGAAGATGATCATAGCACAAACGAAAGCAAGGGTGGCAGCGGAGCGACCGAGGCGTTCCCACCACTTGATGCGGAGGTTGGACCAGATCACCTGAGTAGGGTCTAGACCAATGTACCGAGGGCTCATGTGCAGGGGGAGGTTGTGGGCCACAGACTGGAAGGAAGCCTGGGCATCAGCCTGATGGTAGAACTCGACAAAGACGGAGGAAACCAGCTTGGTTTCTCCAGCGCGGTGCTTTGCCTGCAATTCTTCGATTTCGGGGGAGAGACGCTCGATTTCAGAACGGGCCCAGTTGATAGTGTCGACCTTCTCGCCAATGAGCATCTTGAGACGGTGTGTGGGACGGTTCTTAGCCTCCACCCAGCGAGCAGCCACGGAGCCAGACTCCTCATCAAACTGGCCATCGCCAATGTCGGTCTCGGGGTTCTCAGTCGAGCCCTGCTTCTTCAGGGCCTTGGCGCGTGCCTTGTTAGCAAGCACAATGAGCTTGGTCTCGGCACCCTCGAGCTTCATGGCAGCAGCGTCACGCTCCTTGACCTTCTCCTCGAGCTCCTTGGTATCGGTTGCGATCCAGACATTCTTGACCTTGTCGCGGCCGAACATGGTGCGAAGCTTGTCCTTGTTCAAGAGGTCCTGGGTAACGGTCGTGAACAAAACGGTGCGAGACGAGAGGCGGTTAGCGTAAGCGGGCGAGAAAAGGTACGCCTGACGCAGGTTAATATAGAAGAGGTGCTCGCGGGTGATCATGAAGAAGATGAAGCCGACAAAGATCCAGGCGACGAAGCAATGGGCGTAGTAACGACCGTATTGAGTATCGCTAATATTCGAAATGCTCAGCATGTTGAGTTCGGCCTTTCCACCACCACCAGTGGCATTGACAGGCCACAGGATGGGGAAAGTGATACAGCAGCCGACAAACAACATGACGGAGCACAATTTGAGGAAACGAAGCATGAGGTAGGCGTCCATCGAGTGATGCTGCAGGACGTAGGTGTCGGGTAGCTGGTACATGGCCTTGATCCAATCCCAGGCTCCGGTCGGAGAGTCGGGGGAGCGCTGCGAGGGACGGAGGTATCCAATGTAGGTTCGGGGCATGTACATTCTGCGGTTGCTCTTACGCAGGATGATGAAGAGTAACACCATCACAACGAAGGAAATGAGGGCGGGAACTAGGACGACGAGTAGGCCAGACAGCGACGGCGAGGTGTCCTTCGGCTGATCGCCCTAGTATTCGTTAGTATAAAGAAAAAGCTAGCTACTTAGGTGTGCGAGAGGGCTTACCGAGGCCCTGGCACCCAGCCAGTGAACGGCATCGTTGGCCATTCTGAAGGTATTTCGCAATGGTATATTCAAGATGTCCAAAAACACGATTCAATTTCACGTGTGAGAAGGATCGATTAGAAAGGGAGGGGGGAGGAGGGGGGTTAAGTCTCCCCAGGTATGAAGAAAATTAAAAAGATAAGGTAAAAAAATAAAATCAAAATAAAAAGAGAGAGAGAGAGAGAGAAGAGAGAGAAGAGAGGGAAGCTTAAAGTTTAGCAAAGACCCATGGAAACCCATGAACAACAAGGAGGGAGAGGGGCGAGGATCTTCGATTTGTCTACATAATTGGACCACCTTAGATGAGTTTTTTGTGGTTCTTTCCAATTTAGGAATTCTTTTCTTTTCTTTTTTTTTCTTTTCTATTTTTCTATTTTTCTATTTTCTTTTTTTTTCCCCCTGCAATTGCACTTGATATCACAATTCTAGCGTTGGTCAATCCATGGGATCCATGGGTAGTGGATAATCCAGTCTTTTGTCCACTGTGGTCGAGATGCGACCATAAGATCCACGTTCGTAGCAAGCAATGACCCCCATCCACAGCCCCAGTCTCTCTTATTCGATCACATGAAAATGAACCCATTTTCTTTTTATAAAAAAGAGTTTTTTCAGGGTCGATCCAATCTTTTTCCAGCCTTCGACATGGAAGATGTCCGCCACACACCCCTCAGCCACATCTACATTGCAAACCCGAAATGAGCCACCGTACAATGTGGTAGCTCCTTTACCCGACGATCATGACGTTCAGTTGACAAGGATGTTTATCAATTAAAGTAACCGTGCAAGGGATGCTGTGAGACAAAACAAACTTCTAGGAATACTTTGTAGGTAGAAAATCCTCGCACATACTCAGAAATTGGGGGAAGTCCCAAGGAATTTATCTATCGGGCCTTAGAGAATCCAGGGGTATGGAAATTGTGTCTCCACAGATCAATATCCGAGTCCAAGAAGACACGAGATTGTCTTTTGTGCTTTCTGGTTACTATTGCAAATGCAATTGCTTTTTTTTTTTTTTTTACTTTTACTTTCTACTTTGTTAGTGGACTATCAACATCATTGTGGTCTGTCGTGTCATGACATACCGATTCCCACTAGTAAGTCATGAGATGATCGTCAAATGATAATTTCATACCAAACACAAAGTACCTAAGCTGGATCCAATAACTCACGTAGATCGGGATTTGTCGCCACACAGCGCTAAGGTTAGCTAGTGGGCTACACTATTGACCCAAATCTGTGTGTTCAGTGGGGCTAAGATTGGCCCCTTCGCAAGTCCATCAGTGTTGTACTCCGTAGGTAAAGTTACCGAGCCCTAAAACAAACTTGAAACCTTGGCTACGCCCCTAGATAACTAAAGCTGCACTTATGACACCTCAATGGAAAAATGAAAAGAAATTTCTATGTAACATTCTGGACTTTATCATGAAT